CACAATCCACGAGTACCGGTGATCAAGTTATGATCCACAATCCACGAGTACCGGATGGAGCGTCCCTTCCACATACGTATCCACCACCACGTCCTCCCTTCCGGACTAGATTTCACCAAAAACGAATCTTCTAGGCATGACTCCACTCGGCGCGTGTTGTCCTTGGAGTGCTCCTTTACTTTCTTCTTCGGGCAGTCATACTTGGTCGAAGGTCGAAGGGCCCTGCTGGTAGCATTTGTAGCACTTCGTGCGGCACTCCCTTGCGGTGTGTCCGAACTTCACACACTTCTCGCACTTCACACCCTTTTCCGAGTCGGTCTTCGTCACCCCTGCCGATTCTCCTGCGGGTTTCGCATTGACATTCCCGCGACTCGTTGCAGCATTTTTTTTTACCGCACAACGCTGTCACCGTCGCGAATCCCGCCTCGTTGAGCCTCTGCTGCCAAGCTCCTGGGCACGCCTTGATGAGTTTTCTTCGAACTTCGAACCATCAACTCGACGGACCTCGCTCCCGCCTCGGGAACCGCCAAGTGATAGTAATTTTCCGATTGATCCCTTACTTGGTGAACTGACCGGTCTTCCAGCGAAAGCTTCTTGAATTCGTCGATGTAGGTATGGCATACCTTCTTCGGCACTACGATCGCTTCCACCATCTTCTGGAGCTCATCGATCGACGGGGTAACCTTTGACGCTCTTCAATACCTCTCTCGAGTCTCGAGGCAAGCCACATTTGCTTGAGGCCGATGAAAAGCAATCACTTGCTCATTGCCTTGAGCGCCGTCCGCTCGCTTGCCTTCGACAACCAACGGAGTTTGGTGAAGAACTCCGTGGGGTTGCGCTCGTCCGTCTCTAGGACGATTCCTCGAGCAGCCGAACCCATCGCCACACACTCCTGTGTCTCGGTTTTCGGACCCCACCGCTGCTGTTAGGATTCGGCGCAGATACGACGAAGTACGCAGTCAAGCGGTCAGGTCAGCTCCACACAACCGATTATTCATGGCTTCGTTATATAGTATTCGAGCTCCGAGGGAGAGGGGTGACGTCATCCGTCCGTTACTCATTCTAGAACAATCGATACCTGTCTACTCGAAGAGGACGAAACTGATTTTTCCCAACCCACTTCTCTCAAATGAGTCTTGACTCGTTTGGACTCCGTGCTTTCTCCTCTGTTGAGCAAGGTCGAACTCCTCTCACGCGGCGACCTCCCCGTATGATGAATCCGCCGCATGAGCTCCACCGGAGGTGTTGGTGTTCATCTGAATCTGAAATTATAATGATCGCATCATCGCTTTCAATGCTTCTGCTGGTGGTCGGATGTCTCGCACATTACTGCTTCAAACGGCATCTCTGATCAATTGAAACTCACGATCATTGATGCTCGAGAATCGTATCCTCAGACTTAATGAGCTCTGCTGGAGGAATACATGGAAACGGGGACTTCTCAGTCCGATGACTTGGACCCCGAACAGTTTTTTGTTTCAAAACAGGAAGCGAATATTTCTTCTGCAAGTGCTCATTTTCCGTTCATCGGGTTTCGCCAGACGCCAGACAGACAAAGGGCGGAAACGGGGAGCGCAGCTCATCTTCTCTCTGTGTTCGATTTCGTTGAACCCGGAACTCTGACACTATCCCCGAAGTAAGTCGTGAGATGCGATGATTACCCTTCCAAGATCTTCCGTAATCAGCGGAGGACACATTGAGGCTCCCGCATCGGGTGTCTAACCGGTTCGAATACTTTGACTGGGAGACGAGACAAGCGAGCGATGTCGGTCTTATTTGCAGGCTCATATAGAGCCTTTCTGGCTTTAGCCACGATTCCAAGGACTCCGTCGACCGATGCGGAGTCAATGATGAATTATGATCTGTGAGAGAATCCAGGGATCACTCTCTCATGTCCGGAAAGAAATTCCGGTTGTGAGCGAAAAGTGGATGGATGAGGAACTCCATAAGATAGTTGCCCCTGTTCAGGAGCCGGATGTATCGTGGATCGGTCAACCTCTCGCTCGATATCACCGACACCGGTTCTGGGAGCGCGAGGGGCACAGAGTCGAATTCGCGCGAGTTTCTGTTGCTGAGAGTTATCAAGCCGGATTACGGTCTCGAATCGCGGAACTCCTCCGATGCGCGAGCCGACGCGTGTTGTTCCGATCGGGAAGCTGACGCATCCCAGCCTGATACGCGGATTGCCGGCGGAACCACTGCGGCAAAAGAAGCTATCATTAAATTCGTAAGCTCCAGTGAGTCTCTGATTGTTGCGAGAGAGTTAAACTTCTCGCTAGCGAGGTTCCTGTCATTAGGCGAATTGTTCTGCAGGGAGGGAAAAAGCGCATCTGACTCGCGCTTGTTGCTATGCGCAGCCAGACCGATAGGTTTTCAGAGGACACAGTCGTTCCAACTTCCGAGAGGCACCGCTACAAATACTCGTCACCCGCTGTCTGAGCATTTCTGAGCGAGGCAATTCTAAAAGCGCCGCGGTTCCGTGTCGTTGCTGGAGTGCTCGACTTCCTCGTCACTGCCGTCCTCACTTGAAGCCCAACCGGAATTACTGCTGGAATTGTCCGGCTGCGGCGCAAGCTCATACGAAGTAGCGTAGAGGGCGGCGTTCGTCAGAGTGAAAATTTTGGATCGATATATGATCGGGGGCACACATACATGTGAACGATTCACGAAGTCGCCAATCCCATCCTCATAGAAGAGCCCAGAGGGAGCTGATGATTTCTTCCTCTCTCAGCTGATTTACTGGTCTCCCCCTCCTCAAGCAAGTAAGTCGCTACGTATCGCCGATCATAGATAACTAATCATAATCACACTAGTGGGGATACCGGAGCATACGCAGGAAAGCTCCATCCATTCGACGCTCCCCCGAGCTCTCTCCAGGTACGTCAACCTCTCCTGCATGCAGTGACTAGCTCAGGGCCCCCTCCCCGATGACCTGACTTTCATTCTACCTCGGTAGACTTTTGGAGCGGCATTCTTTGATTTCCTCCTCATTGACGAGTTTCTTCATCGGAAAAAAGTACTCGGTCGAGAAAGGTGCACGTTTTCCCGAATAGAAGGAGTTGGGTGTGAGCGGCACTGTTATCTCGCTGGGGCTCGAGCTCCGGCGAAACGCTACCTCGGTTACATCGACAGAAGCTCGCTCGTCCAAGGGTACGAAGGAACCGCATCGTCTGGATGAACATATTCCACGAGCATTCTCCTGGGCTGCTGGACATGAAAATTCCACTCATAGAGGAAGCCGCCCACGCTAATTCGGGACGAAGATCCCCGAAGCAATTATTTTTTGGGAGATCTGTCTAGGTAAGAAGGAACAGCTCCGTTAGAGAAGACTGATGACTGATGAGTTTAATAACTCTTAATGGACACTTTATGTATTTCATTATCGTGGAGGCTCGCATCCGATCCCTCTACATCGCACGGGGTCCCTGCGGGAGCCGCATCACAGACTTCTTCATGGGCCGCGAGAGGACAAGAGTCGGAGTGTCCCCTGCTACGAATGATGTTTCAACGAGTCAGAGAGGTACAGAATTATCGATCGACTCTTCCTCGGCGGTGGATAGCGATATTTTCGACTTACATACCTTACCGAATATGACAGATACAATCTTCACGGAGAGACTCGGCAAGCTCGAATCTCGGGTATCGCTCCCCATTCCACATCTCAGCTCTGAAGATATGATCCGCTGTCCTCCAAAGAAAACTTCCCCAAGGAGTTCACTTAAGTTTATCACAATGAAAATCACATATACCGTCCCCGGAACTCTTGAGGCTCGAGAAAAAATATACCCAACCCCGACAGTTCTCGTGCTTCGGGTCGAGGGAGCAGCGAACCTTCGATGTCTGGAATCTATCCGGAAGGAGGAGAGTACACTGACCTTTGCAGATGGAGAAACTGCTTTGTCGGAACTGTTTTCTTAAATAATCCGTCCGTCGAAGCTGAGCGCCGGAACGAATCTTACCGACAAAGGTCTGCCAGAGCGCCGTTCTGCTCTTGATATCGTACAATACAGTATTGAGAGAAGGGGGAACGACCCTAGCATTGAATCGTGACAGAGGATATTGAATGAATTCTACGGGATATTCCGTGTCAGTGTTCGGCAGGAGAGCGTATAAACGCTGGGATTCGGGGAGAATCGACTTCGCAAGCTCGGGACAGTCTTCATTTCCTTCAACTCTCCCGAAATCCTGCCAGTTCGCGGCTAAGAATATCCCTCAGCGAGGGAATGTCCGGTATTGCCGACACCGGGGAGCGACGAGAAGGTCTCGCGCGCAGAGGATAGTGACCTAAAAATGGGGCCAGGATAAGCTGAGACAAATGCATAATACTTGACTCGGATTTCCCCTGTGACATCGAATTGCAGGACCGGGAAGTCGCTTTTCCTCTCCGTTTCTCTTCCCCCCAGTGATTAAGTGGAGGTGCGGCTCCGAAAAGTCTCGTAGCCTTCGACGCCATCGGGGAAATTTCCGGCAAAGGCTCGAATTCTTCAGTTAAAGGCGACGCTCCGCGGGCCTGATCTGGGATTGTATCCGTCCGGTTGTTTTGAGCCCATCCAGAGCGTCCTATGATGTAAAGGAGCTTTCTTTGAGCAGCTCCAGAATTCGTGAGCCCCGCAGTGAATTCAAGAAAGGGTCTCTGTCGGGACCGGCTGATAGTGAACCGACTTCCTACGATTCCGGCAACAGAGAGCACACAGACAACAGACGGAGATCACGAGCACTATAGCGCTTGCGATTGCTGCAACGAGGATCACGGTCGCTGAAAGGGACAGAAGTTCGTCTTGAGAAAGCAAGAACATCTGAATTTTATGCGAATACTGTCTGAGGCCGAAAGAATGTGGCGGGAAAAATGCACTGTATACCTATATATGGGAATCTACTTTCTCAGGAATATACCATCCTTCGATCGACTCATAACTCATAAATTTCATGACCCGCCCCTAATGGAGCTTTTAACTCATTCATGCCTCTCTCACGCAGTGTGGAACGCCTGTAGTCGTACACATCGATCCATCGGGATCGCATTTATTCATATTCTCGACTTACTGACCAGATACGACAGTGCGTTTTGCTCTTACAACCTCCTTTTCACTCTATTGAGCTTTCCCACAAATATCCCCTCACACAAAAACCATTCACACCGGAAGGGCCATGAAATGAGTTCACGGGAGTGTACAGCTGTACTTCCCACTCTCAGACTCCTCAGAACACAGCTCCAACTCCTCACTGACCTCGGTTCTTGAAGGTTGGGAAGCGTAGATCGGAGGCTGCGACTTTCGATTGACTCCGTCCGCATTCCAAGGCCCAATCCTCGGGGAGCTTGCTGGAGATGCGCGCTTCAAAATCGCCTAGGGGCATGCTCAGAACCAATCGAGCATTCATGCTAAAGTAATTTGAATAGTAGATCTTGACGGAGTAGTTGCCACCGGAGACGTCCTGCCAGAGCTCCACGAGTACGGTCGCGCAATACCTCGGAGCTTTCCCGTCAAAAACGTCGAACAGTTGGAGAAGTGAAGCGATCTCGGTGTCGTGCTGCTCGTTATGGAAGCGTTCAATAACGTTAGCGCGGTCGAACAATCGCCTCTGCTCGGGAACTCCAGGGTATAAGCACCCTGGATGATCGGGACAGAAGCCAAAATGGTCGTGGATTACTCCATGAACTCAAAGGTATACCCTGCATTTGACTCACCGTAGAATACATGTGAATGCGGACATCGTTTGAATTCTTCGTCACCGACAGCAGCATGTTGTTGAGTATTTCCTTGGCTAATAGACCTGCTCGAAGTCGCTGGAGAATTGGTGACTTCGCATACCAGATGAAGCTCAAGTCTTCCTGATTTTCGAGTTCGTCATAGGAGTCGATCGCCCATTGAGGAACATTCAGACCGTAAAGTCGCTCGATCATGATAGTATCGTAGATGCGACCAGCGCTCTCCCAATCGGTGATGTTCGCCCCAGTCCATCTTGAGAGATTGCTGTACAGTGATTTGTACCTGAGAACGAAAATCGGGATGTTCTGATAAGCGGATAGCTCGAATTAAAGGCTGGGCGGAACGACCATGGTCAGAGTTCGAACTACCAGCAGGGCATATTGATTGAATCCCGACGTACTTCTCGATTGACTGCTTTGCTTCAGGCGTGGTCTTGAGCAGTTCGTAGGCGCGATCCGCGTTAGGACAATTGTTGTTCCCTGGAGCCAGAAGTCCGTCTTCGTCATTCGGTCTAGTATGCACAGGCACAGGTTGCCACGGCAATCCAACAAGGAATCGTTGCTCTGGTGCGGGTCTGTACATTCCAGCCAAGTGACAAGACGCTGAGTCCAGACATCGGTTCTTATCAGAACTTTGGACATGGATCTGAGGAGAGAATTGATCATGAGTTGAGTTCCCCATCCGAGCGACAGATCCTTCGTCGAGAATAGCGGGGAACGTGGTTACCACCCACGGTGCTCACCTCTTTGGGATCGCCGGTTATGAAATTCGAGTAGTGGGCCTTTAGAAAACTGCCCATCTTGTAGTGCATCCGACATCCCTCCTTAGTCAATTCACCCAAGCCTCTTTTCCAGAACGATTCTTTATTGGCGTCTTTCGGGTACAACGACACGGGCGCTCGGTCGCCATGGCGGTATGCCTGAAAAAAGCGACACAGCTCCTTGGTCCCGATCATTCGAAACACTTCGACCGTCATAGTGACCGGGATTACTCTCCTCTGCGGAGTTCCGGAGCTGAACGATGCGCTACTATATATCCGGCATATCATTTTTGACGGATGTGCTTGCCATACGGTGTACGCCCAGCGTATGAGGGAGCCATATGATTGGTATGATATGAATGCGGGTGCGTAAAAGCCGAATTTCGTGCCGTGACGCGGGGTACTTGAGGCAAATACTATCGCTCGCACCAGATCATGTTGAGTTTTGCGAAGAAAATCCGACCACTTATGGCGATAAAGACGGCCGAAAGACTATGCCCTCTCGTATCGAGGCCACATTCGAGCGGGATCGATTAATTGATCCGGACTCCTACGACGCGAACAAATCTCGAATGCCATATGCTACAGGCAACGACACGGGCGCCATGCGCATATTCACCGTAGAATCGGGGAGCAAAGTCCCTGTGCGACACGGATACTGACGCCTGAAGCGACCTTCGAGGGTGCGCGAAATTATCTCCCGAAAATTTTTTGAATGATATAGGAGTATAAAGGATTTCATACGCTGCAATCATACACTGCATTTCTGCCGAGTTCTTTAGACAGCGCATTCTGGGAGCTCTATACTCACGATGCTCAGATGCACTAGTCGCTCCGAGTCTCCGGGGAAGTCTTGCGAAGCCGCGACGCCGAAAAGGGCAAAAACGAGCGAAACCCGTATCATCTTGTTACAGCGCAGAGGCAAGGGCTCGAAACTCAGGGCAAGTCCTCGGGGTTCTTGTTGTGATGATCCCGCCAGCGAGCCGGGGGGTTGTCTGCTCCGAACCTAGGCGCGCTCACACCCAACTGACCTCTGCACCGGCACCGAGTCTGAAAGTCGAGAGGTGCGTTGCTTGAAAGGAAGGGTTCGATGGTAGAAAAGTTATGTGGAGAAAACATTTATCCGCCGGTGATATTAACGAGCCGCTGGTTTTCTCTCCGGTGGCAAGAAGCCGGTTTTCATCCTCGGTATTCCGGAGCGGGAGAAAGCTCTCGTTCCCGCTCCACGTCAACCCTGAACTGATAAAATTGCGTCCGACAAGCCGCCGAGAGCCTAAGTCAGTGTCGCAGCCGCTTCTGGAAACGCATCTCGCACAGCTCTACTCCCCTGAGGTAGACTTCTGAGCCTCGCAAGCTCGGCTCATAGCCTCGCTATGGTGGCTCATAAGGCTAAGCGCTGTGAACGGATTGCGTAAAACTGAAGGGATCCTCCTTCGGAGAGAACAGAGAGAGATGGGGCTCATAATCTGATCGCTTCGCGCGCGTTTCAATTTCATCTCATTTGACGATATGGATCAAGACGGACGTCCACACGGAGGCTGATTTATCGACTCCGCTGTTCTAGAACCTCTGAAATTCATCATGAGATCTCAGGAAGAACTGTCGTCACCTCGGAGCCGCTAGAATTATCACACTCATTGTAATTCATTTTGAGTGAGATCCTCCATTAGGGACCGGGTCAGCGGTATTTTTTTCTAGATGGTCGGAGCTTTCCCGACTCTCCGCACCAGCGTCTGGGCTTCTATGGATGCGGGCCAGTAAGGACATTTCGGGGAATTGTCACAAATGTCGCAATCAGGATATGAGCCATACTCTCGATAGTGTTCGGAGAGGCCAGAGAGCTTATATGATTGCATACTCAGAAGACTGAACCATACGCGAAGGTCAGCAGCACGAGCCGTTGAAGAAGACGAAATCCCAATTACAGCCGGAGACCGAAATTCAACGGCGGCAGTTTGAAGGGGCTCAAGTTTCAAGAAACTGACACTGCCAAGCGGGATCGCCTGAGATCAGCAGGGATTTAGTATCATGGAACGATACTCGCTGATCTTAACAATCCGACGGATCATATCAAGTTCCCTCATAGAGAGAGGAGCCCGTCGTTCGGAACTTTGGAGACTACCCTCCACTCTGGAGATACCCGTGAACTTCGTTGCGGCGTGCACCATTTGCGGGAGGAAACCTCTTTCGGAGGATTTTTTCCTGGTCGAATGAGCCGCGTTTTTTTACCCGGCGCGGATATGTGTAAGCCTGAAAACAGCTGCTTTGTCCACTACTCATTCCTTGCCAAAAATTGCTGCATCGGAATCAGTGGAGCTGCACAGGATTCTCTAGGTAGTGCACGATTTGAAAAGTTCTTAACCATCCACTCACTGTCGACGAACTCAAGATCGACGTCGACCATCGACGGTTGCAAGCCGGGGAACCAAGAATGTCCCCAGCTCTACACTGAAACACAAACACTTGTCGGTGACATTGCTGATGTTGCAAAACAACGGTTGCTGGAAGCTTCCGGTCGCGTTGTGGCGCGCAGATCTGACGTCGTGGGTGAGGATGAGGAGCCCTCGCACCCGCTTGGCGAGACGCTATTTTCGGTCAGACTTCTATATTCCGCTTCTGATGTCCCAAATCGGACTTGAGCCAGAGCAACACTTTTGAGTGTCGAATTCTGAGACTTCCGGCAAAAAACGCGGGGTCGGATCCGGAGCCTGCCGACAACGTTTTCTGAGAGAGGCTCGATTCCGGGTCTCGGAGCTGAAACTAGAATCCAACGTACTACAAGTGAAAGTTCGCGGATTCTGATCTACCTCGCAATTTCTCCTGCCAACACTTGTTCAGGTAGCACTAATAGACGGCTTTCAAATCTATTGAGATGTCATAGTTGCGGTCATTGCAGGTGTTACAGACCTCGTGGCTCATTGGCGATAGCCCCGATCTGTCTAAGGTCCCTGCCAGCTTGGGATCAATTTCATTTTTCTGGTCGAGCAAAGCGAGCTGGAATCGCCTTCGACAGGGTTTTCGATCGAAGATCGTGTCGTTGTTTCCCGGAATTCCGATTTCCTCTTTGTCGACGGTACTCGTCCGGAGAGAGACAGAGAATCTCCGCGAGATTCCGCCTACGATCGGTACAACTTCTTCCATCCGCTGGCTAGCAGACGATCTTCACGGAAGGGCGAGGGTCTCGAGCTTGCCGATCGCACTCCCTCTGTCATCCTTCGTCCGGAGCCCAGCAATGCATGCAACACACGGCGCGACACCACGGCGCGCCATCGTAAAAACAAGATTTTTCCTTCTAGAGCGTAGCGGACGGGAGAGGAGGCTCCTGACTGAGATTAATAATCATCAACCATAGATTACGGCAAGGGTATTTTATTGAGGAAGCAGCATTCGGCAGCCGATGAGTCTTCGAATCTGAGCGCTTCCCAATCGAATTTTCAGGAAAGCACGCGTTCCTCGGCGACCACGACCTGATCCCGGTGCTGTCATTTACCACGTTGTCGAACCGTCTCTCTTGTTTTGCTCGGTGGTGGCGGACGGAAATGGAGAATCTCGCTTCGTCTGTTGGTTGGGTAAACATCTGTTTGACGGTCACAGCCATGGCAGCTCTGTCAACGCTGGCGAGCTTCTCGAAGCGCTTGTCCGCGCTTCGGTACCTCCGGCATCGCGTAGACAAAACGTCGAAAGTGAACGGTGGCGACTTGGTCGCAAAGGTGCTCAAAGAACACGACGTGAAGCATGTGTTCACTTTGTCGGGTGGCCACATCTCACCGATACTCGTCGGTGCGGAGAAACTCGGAATTCGAATCGTCGACACTCGGCACGAAGTCAACACGGTCTTCGCTGCGGATGCGGTGGCGCGACTCACTGGCAACGTAGGGGTGGCTGCAGTGACCGCGGGACCTGGTGTCACAAATACGATCACGGCGGTGAAGAACGCTCAGATGGCGGAGTCACCTGTGCTGTTGCTCGGCGGAGCGGCTGCCAGCGCAGCTAAAGGGCGAGGTGCTCTCCAGGACATCGATCAGCTGTCCCTATTCAAGTCCCTGTGCAAATTTTCTGCGTCTGCAACCACCGTCCGGGACATCGTACCGACAGTCCGCGCAGCGATCCAGGCCGCTCTATCGGATACGCCGGGTCCGGTGTTCGTGGAGCTTCCGCTCGACGTTCTCTACCCGTACGAAATCGTCCGCAAGGAGGTTGTGGGGAACGATTCTGGGACCGCAAAGAGCCTCGGACAGAAGATAGTGAACTGGTATCTCGAGCTTTACCTGCACAATTTATTTGCCGGCGGCCTCGACGCCACTGAATTCGGTCCGCTGCCAGTCAATATTCCTCTCACGAGCTCGGAACAGGTAAAACAAGCCGCTGGTTTTCTCTCCGGTGCCAAGAAGCCGGTTTTCATCCTCGGTAGCCAGGCCACTCTAGGCCCGAAGGACGCCAAGGATCTCAAAGCAATTCTGGAGGGTTTCGGAGTGCCATGCTTCCTCGGCGGGATGTCCAGAGGGGTCTTGGGCAGGGACAGTCCCTATCAATTCCGGCACTGTAGGAGAGATGCCTTGAAGCAGGCGGACGTCGTCTTCCTCATTGGTTCGGTGTGCGATTTCCGGCTATCGTATGGTCGAGTCTTCAACAAGAAATCGAAAATCGTAGCGGTGAACCGCAACAAAGAGCAACTCTGGAAAAACTCCGACGCCTTCTGGAAGCCCACTCTGGCTATCCAAGCTGACGTGGGGTCGTTCGTGGCAGACTTACAGAAAGCTCTGCCTTCCTACAAGTGCGACAGCTCTTGGATACAGGAACTCCGTGCGAAAGACGATGCCAAAGAAGAGAAAAACGCAGAAATGGCCAAGGCGCCTGTCGACAAGCACCTGAACCCCATGAAGTTGCTGCAGGTTCTGGAGAATGTGATGCCCGACAACACTATCATAGTCGCCGATGGAGGTGATTTCGTAGCGACAGCTTCTTACATTTTGAAACCGCGGGGAGCCCTGCAGTGGCTCGATCCTGGAGCGTTCGGAACGCTAGGTGTCGGCGGCGGGTTTGCCCTGGGTGCGAAACTCGTCAATCCCGAGGCTAACGTTGTTATCATTTATGGCGATGGCTCCGCCGGTTACTCTATCATGGAAATGGATTCTTTCACGAGACAGAAGATCCCGGTGACCGCGATCATTGGCAACGATGCCTGCTGGACGCAAATTCTGAGGGAACAGGTGCGTAACATCGCTGTCTCTCGATAATTGTGGTCGTGAAATTCCCTCCGGACTTACGATCTGATCGTCCCGATCCTGAACAATTGTGAAAAAAAAAGCAATCGTCAGCGATCCCTATTCTTGATCCGTTCCAACCCTTTGAACAATTCCAGATAAATATGTTCAACTCCTCGGTCGCATGCCCGCTCGCCTACAGCAACTACGAGCTCGTCGCCGAAGGACTCGGAGCCGAGGGTCGGCTCCTCAGGGCAGAGGACGAAAATCGACTGGCTGAAGTCTTCCGCGAGGCTTTCAAACTCAATAAGGAAGGGAAGAGTGTTCTGATCAATGCTCTCATCGGGAAAACGGCTTTCCGAGACGGCAGCATTTCGGTTTGAGCCCGAAAAATCTTTTCGGTAACCTCGGAGACTACTGCCCGCTTCCAAGCGACGATGCAATGCATCAATGCTCTCTCGATTTGCTCAAGGAACGAACGATCAAATCAATTATTCGATAACTTAGTCAACCAATCAAATAGGACCGAATGGTTTGTTTTCTGCGATTCCGGGACCGCGAAAAGGTTTTTTGTGAAATGCGAATATCTTCCGTGTCGGACCAAATGAATCAAATTTTGTTGCTCGCTCCGGATCTTCCGCGTTTTGATTGGCTCCCCAGCAGGGTGTGGGACTTGAAGGGTACCATTGTGTATGAATATGAATCATGTTCCGCCCCGGCTTCGATTCGGGAGCTTCGACACTATGTGAAATTGAAAAAAAACGAGAACGCGTCGTCAGACTGGGGACTTTATTTACAGGGATAAGTATAAGTAACTTTCTCACTACATATAATAAATTAAAATGTAAAAATCAATCTCAATATGTTGGCAAAACAATTCCATATTATACCTAGTAGGAACACCCGTCTAGGGAGTAGTCTGATGAGAAAGGAAAGAGAGCATGAGGATATCCTGGACAGAATCGGCAGCTTTGAGTGGGGAAATTATTGAAATCAGTCTCCCCTTCACAAAGAGTTCGGACCGTCCCCGGATGGATCGGACGAGCTGTGAACCCCAATCAATTCGTGAGTAAGAGAGAAGACCATGTAGAATACCTGACTCGCTAATAATGAGACTTCTAGGAAAATGTCTCTCGGGGAGTCGGCGTCAAAGGATCAATAGATCAGTTCCCCTCTGGTCAAATAATTTTCTCGATGAAAAGATACGCCCCGGGAATCATTGTCAATAATCCGTTGCTCAAAGTGCTGCCTTGAAGGGCGATCTACCACTCGACGTCGGTTGGTAGATCGATTGCGTGAATAGAGAAGGCGGACTCGACTACTTGGAGTTATTCAACTAGGAGTACGATGGCACCGTTAGCAAGCGTCCGACGGAGTTCTCGACTCCGACGTGCTCGTTCATGCTATAATACATATCACTCGGATTGGCATCGCCAACGCGTCAACAAAGGATGATTGACGTTCGATGGAACGACGTGCTTTAGGTCGGATGCGACGATGACTAGGCGGAGATCGGAGTTCCTTGACTGGAGCCAGACGGGCTGATGACTGAGCTGTTCGGAGAGCACATGCAGTACATGAGACCACAGGAAACACAAGGCGTAGTCGACGTTGCGCGTGCCGTTACTGAAAGGGCAAGAAAGTCTGGTTCAGGATATGTTCGGGCCGCCTATCGGAAATCTTGCTGGAAAGTCGAGGGAGCTCGCAAGCACGCAAGCAAATAGCGTCGGAGGAGGCACCTCGGGAACTCGATGACCTCGCAGACGACTCACCTCCAACCGGCTTATTGTTGTTCTTGTTCTGGTTGTTGTAATACTTCTTCTGACGTGCGCGAGAATTCTGGAACCATACTTGAGTGACTCTCTTGCTTAGACCGGTTATCTGCGCGATCCGTTCGAGATCCTGTCCATCAGGATTCGAGTCAAGGTTGAAGTTCGCTTGCAGAACTTGCAGCTGCTCTTCGGTGAACGTTGTTCGAACTCGTTTGGTTTTCGCTCGAGGATTGTGATCTTGATCTGCATTATCTGTAATCGAGACAGGCATTTCCATCAGCAATTTGATCTCATCCGTCGCCGGCGATGAACGCAGCCTTCCGGGCGAGGATGGTTGCCAGGTTCCTGACACTGATTTTGGTCACGGCCGTCTTCCGGCAGACTTACCGTCTGTTGACTGACTACCGGGGTCTATGAGTTCGCAGAAATGGATTTTGCACAAAACCCTACCGTCGTGCAAAGCGAATTCCTCTCCAGTTGAGAGTTGTCTTTTGCATTCTTCGCAAGCGAAGCAAGCAAGGTGGTAGACTTGATCCCGGGCTCTCCTTACCCAATCCGACGACTGGATGCCTCGTGTACACTTCGAGCAGCGGACTCCAAATTGCCTGAAACATGAGAAATCGGACTAAAAACCCCGAAATCCGTATTCCAGACGACGTCATTTTCCTCGCGATAGCGAGAACCGGCCCTGCATTCCGTCTGGCAATCCACGGCCACAATCCAACGCCCGATCACCTTTCATGCAGCTTGCAGTTTCGGCATTTTAGCCCCTCCCACGCACGGAATGGTCACGGGTGACCAGCAAGGGGAGGCTCAACATCACTGCGAGTTCGAACTCCCGAGCGGAGGCTCCGGTCGAATCTTACCCGCGGGAGCTCACTATTTATAAGTGATCTCTCTATAGATCAATCCCAATCCATGTACCGTAAGGTGTGGTTCTCAGCAGCGAGGAGAAGGAGGAATATCCGTTTTCCTCTGGAACTTTTGCCGGGAGCAGGGAGCATTGCCTCTGACTTTTCGTCGTTTGTTAGGTAACCTGAGCCGCATGCTACTCCTGAATGAGTTCTGAGTTCGACCTCCATCCTGTGCAAGCCGGTCGAGCTCACGGGTCAGCCACCCGAGTGTGAGCGAATTCACTTGTCACCCGTTCCAGTGTTTCCACGCACGATTGTCAGGCGACTATCCGATTGAAACGAGATATTTGGAGCAAGCGATGACATATGTTTTGACTGACATCATGAATGTAGTTTGCAGCAGCCAGTGCATCGTCTAATTCAGACTCATCCTATTACAACTGGTGATGTGCTTCTTCGAGGCGGCTCTACGAGGTGTTAATCGTATGGAAATCACTGGAACAGATGTTCAGCAAAGGGAGCACCGACGAGGTGTCTGCGCCCTCCCGGTGCTCTCGCTAGCCTTGGGTTACATTTCGAATGTGAGCGAGCTTTAACGCTGAATGAATAGCTCAATTTGGTCTGCTTGTTGCTTATAGCCTTTTACGCTTGGACCATGCTTCGGGCAGCCTCGATTGTGACTAAGATGGCGTTCGTGGGCAGTCTCAGCGCCCGGCTTCTCGAAATCAAAACGCCGTGCCGCCGTGTTCGCCGCTGACGGCTAGCTCTATCTCTGACTGACTGAGAGGACATGAGTGGAGATTCCACCGACTAAATTGAGGGAAGACGCTTTTACAGGTGCATTTTTGCCCGGCAGTTTCATTCGAGAGTATCCGCTTGACAACGAGCGACGGTTGTCCTCGTAGCTGATGTCACGTCTGAGGAATAGGTTCCCGTCCCCATCGAAGTCGTCGTAGTTCCCTGGCTTCGATTGCTGCTGCTGCTGCTGGCACTACTACTGACTGGTTGTGAGTTGGCCTAAGCTGATTTGCAACCCGAGTCTTCTTTTCTTCCTGCTTCTCCTATCAATGAAGTCGCTCGGTGCGAGTATACGGGTGAATCGCAACAACTCGATTACTCGTTCGTCTATTCGCTCTCCCGAGCTCTTACTTTTACGAAGCTGTCTCAACTTCACTCCTATCCTCTCGTTCGACACGAATGCGTCGGTGAGCCGCGGATTCCCTTCCTTCTTTTTCCTCTGGATTTCTCGAGTTCCTCAAGCATTCATCGACTGACGGTCGAGCTCGTAGTTATGAAGAACAAAGATCATAGTCCCGAAAGTACGGGACGAATGGTACGAATAGCCGGTAGGACTAGAAGGCCGGAAGGACCCCGGCCGAAGTATCGGTGACGACGGACGGCGGCGTGCAGAGCTCTTCGCCGGCCGCACACCGCGTTTGCACAGAGCGGCCTCGATCAACGACGTTGGGAACCGGATCGACTCGGTGGAAACTGGACGCAGGCACGAGCGTGCGGTCACATGGGGTTTCAAGAGTCCGAGCAGGCGTAGCGGCTTCGGCTCTCACTCGCTCAGACCTAACGATGCCCGCCGGCGATTCATTTAGCGTCCTTCCTGATCAGTGCTAGCCCACTGTTCGACCGTCTGTCTGTCCGTCCGTCCGACCGACCAGCAGGCAGAACGTTCGTCGGTCGGTGCCTCCGCTCAGCCGACTGCCCGCCCGCCCGCTTTGGCTGCTCATCCGGTTGGGCCGAGCGTTCCTCGCTCGCTGGATGTCTTGTGTACCGAGAACGAACATCGGTTTCATGCTCTCGTTTCGATTGCATTCCCTGTTTACCCAACATATCTATCATTGACAGAGGGAAGGTGCAGGGGAAAGCGAGACCTCCCATCTGTAGAGAAATGTACGCCAGTCTCCTACATCCAGCCGCCCATGCCCACCATTCCATTCTTGGATCGGTTGTGGAGAGCTGGCGAACTTACCTGATTCTACGTACGTCTCATGTGTTTCTGCATATCATGTGTTTACCATAGAATCGGGGAGCCGAACAGAGACGTATGGCAAGGGAAGAAGGTCGGCATAAAAATGCTTTCACCTTCTCGAATCTTTTTTTCCGACTTGGACAGCCCTTGCCAAATAGCTGGCAAGCGAGTGAGAGAGAGACCGGCTGCGCGGGGTGAGAGAGCCTCGGAGATATGTAAATAAGCTCTGATTGGGATAAGTTTTTGTCCAAATACAACAGCGTTGAACGAAGTAAGGGGAATGCTTGGCAAACGCTCCGAGACTGTTGTCGCTTGTCGGAGGAGCGGACTGTGTGCGCTGCTTCCGCCGCCAGCGCTTGCCCCCGTAGTATCGACTCGAAACACCGGTTTGGACTCAAAACTCGAAAACAACCTTTTTTCCTGAACCCTGCGTCGGAGCCGACCTGTGTCTCGAGAGAGCCCGACGAGCGGCAGTCGGGCTTCTCCTCGAATGTCTCGAGAGAATTTTCTCTCCTGCTATCATCCGCGGATGCCAGATCAGGATCGTCTTCGTTGAAGGCAATACTCGAAACTTGTCGGAGATTCTGCACACGGCAGTACCCGCAGCTTGAACACTTGCGTTGGGTAATATGACGCACGAGCCTGTGGAGACTTCCGAAAAAGCGGGAACCGTCGCGCCGTCCTCTCAGCGGTCGGCTCTGATACCGAGCATGAATGTGACCGTCTACTGGTTGAATGTTATAGGTAGCTTCCCCCGAGGGAGAAGCCACTCACACGGTCCGTTCACAAATTGAATGTAGCGGAGCAGCTGTCGGCGAATGGGCATCATTCATTGGATATCCGATCGCAGCTCGGAATCGGCACGAAGAAATCCGCAAACCAACACCGTCCTGTTTGGGAGTTTTTCCCCCGTCCAACGGAGACTGAATGCGGAATAGCCTCATTTAACGCTCCACTGGGTCTGACTTGTCTCTCGTTGTTTCCTCCTTGTCTACGATGTTCTGCCGGTGCTTTGAGCCCTAGTTGCCAAGTCCGAGGCTCCCCTGGTCGGTCCGTCTCGCGAGGCACTGCGGACAGGGAGGCAGCACCTGCCGACCACCTCTGCCAAAGAGACTGCATCGGCAACACTCGCGCTGAGGTCCTGATTGCAGCTTTGAAGTCTCCCGCACCGAGTCTCCCGCAGGAAGATGGCAAAACGAGAAGCGAAAAAGGAAAGTGTTTCTGCCTGATCGATCCTCTCGGTTGGACTTCGGCTGCTCGGTCTATCGAACGGCCAGGAGTTTCAGCCACCAGAGCTCGTATTAGTGGCTGAGGTTGCGAACGCTTAATCGCTATCCACTCGTGGCTTTCGTACATTCGTACGATATGATGACCGCCAGAGCATGAGCAGATTGCATCGCTTTTGCGACCATCAGAGCGCATCGACGTGGATCATCGAAGCCACCTCCCCCCCCCTCACATCCCTCCCGTTCTGAGGTCAAGGGAGCATCTCTTTCGAAGACTATTCTCTGCGTCTAGTTATGTCTCGGTATGCGCGAGGACGAGGATCCGGAGGTCGCACAAAGGCTCTCCCTCCCACGGAAAGAGTAAAAAACTGCGTCAGACGAGGAGTCACAAGTCCGCCGGAAGCCCACAAGCGTTTGTCTGGACGAGAGTGCGTGTGCTTTAGGCGAAGCCCCGCCTTCCGTCTGGCCAATGGGAGCAACGAGGAGGCAAAGGGAGGCTCTTCCTATGTTCGTTAAGGCTACGCACGAGTCTATGCACGTCTTGCTGTCGTGTATTTGAGCAGGAACGGAAGAGTTTTCGAGTCCGGAAAAAAACCAATGCTGCGCATTAGTCAGTTCGGCAAGGGTTTGCTTGACGAATTTCCGGAATCGAGGATCGGGCTCCGCTCCGACGCTGAATACCCAGGAATCGATTGAGAGGGAAATTAGAAAATGAAGGTCAATAATATCGAACTTCTATTCCTGGCAGCAACCATATTCACGCAGACGGGACGCTTTTGCACGAACGACATGGTACTCTTTCCGGGACTCGTCGAGCCTAGAAGAGGAACACGGAAATAAGAAGAACCAGGGCCTGCTATTCCGAGAGTATCCCCGAGCAGCGATTCATTTGGTAGAGGGAGGAAAAGAGGAGAGCGACGCAAATCCAGCAAAGTATGATGATCGTCGCTCAATTTTTCCCTATGAAGACACGAACGAGCTGGGAATTTATACATCTTAAGCTTGTTAGAGACAGGCAAAGACTTGTCATTGAGCGCGGCCAATTCGATTATGTCGCTCACTCCCGGCCTCTGTCTCTGGTCGCCGAGTTCGAAGTCTGCTCCTCGGCTGCGCCAAGCCCGATCGTCCTCCTCCAGCCATTCTCCTGGCCGTTCTCGTGGTGGAATCAGCTGATTTTTGTACCTGTCGCTTGCTAGCTCGCTCGCCCGCCCGCGATCCGAGACTGCTAGCGGAATCTCGGAGTTCCCAATGTTCCTTCCGGTGCTCTGCCCCCTATGTGGTGGTGGCAGCAGCTGAGTCTAACAAAGTGGAAGGATCGGCTCGATTCAATCATCATCTTCGTTCAAACGCCGCCCAGATGACTGGTCGGTCAGACCATGGCTGGCTGGCTTGCTGGCTGGCTTGCTCCCGAAGTAGAACGACGGCGAGGAGCGACTCAGTCAGGTAGCAACGAACAGAAACGCGCGGTAAAAGGATTCACGCACTCATTGAGTTAGGGAAATGTTCAGCGGAGCGAACTATTCGCACCCTTCACTCGTCTCGAGGTTGCTGCTTCTGCTGCGGCGGCGGTGACGACGACATCAGAATGCTTTGTTTACTCTTGTTCTTGGCTGTTAGGAACGACTGATTAACGACGTTTGTCTACTGGTGTATGCGGCGCGGGGTTCGCGGACTCGCCTCTGCCAAGAGGCGACGACTTTCGGAATTTCGAACTCCTGATGAAGGCATCAGAGATCTCACCTCGCGTAGTCCTGCTTGCAGTATACGTTGTTATCCCGGAAGAAACACGTTGAATCCTTCTCCAACAGACAATCGCACACGCAGCATCGCAGACAGTCCACGTGCCAGGAGCAGTTGTCCACTTGAAGTTGCACGCGCTCCAGAATCAACTGTCCACAGCCTCCGCAGATTGTTCCTCGTTCGGCCTGAAAACGACATGTCTTCGTAATTATGCGTAGGCTTGCCCGAGAGTATGCAGTCGCCATCGTCCGGATTCAGCCGAAATCTCCCATCTGGCTTTCACTGAAATCCAGGACGGAAGGGCATGAGTCAAGAGTGGTCCGGAAGTAGCGCGAGCAAATGTCGGCTCGAATCAATGGCTTTCATCGTATGGAATGATCGAGCTGAGGGATGGAACGCGTATCCTCACGGGAATTCTTTCGGGAAACGTTCCGGAGATCCCGACGGGGAGTCTGTTCGAAACCTCGAGAAATCTCCAGTCGCTGCTTGCCACTCGAGAAGCGTCATGTCTACGGAATGAAGTTCTCGTGGCGGTATTGACGAAGTTTGCCCATGGGGTGACCATACGGCGGTCCTGGGAGATTCGAGAGTTTCGCAAGAAAGACAAAAGTGGAGTCGAGGGTGAAGTCGAAGGCTGAGCACGATCCATAGAGGATATGAGGGCCGAGCCACCCCGAATCCATATCTGATCGAGCGCGTACGAGAAAGTAGCTACGCCAAATGACCTCGAACACTTTCTCTGTTGCGACCTCCACTGGACAGAACCCCGTCGAAGATGGCTATCGCGGCTCTCGAGTATCGCTCCGCTGCACAACGACATGGGAGTTCGTGTCAAAACCGGTGGATTATCCGATAAGCCGATTGCTTCATCATGTGATTCAATAGCTCGAAATGAATGTGTCGAGAAAACAAGTTCAAATCCGACTCTCGGGCCTGTCTGGTGGACTTCTTCCACGGCTGCAGTGTACTACAAAATGGAGTTCTTACGAAAGTTCACTCACGCCACAGCTTGGCGCTTATCGTCGCCGAGATCTGAGGTCGAATTGCTGAAACACAATAGGCGAGGAAGCTAAAGCCATTTATCTTACATGACTTCTCAGGGCGAAGTTTCAGCAGCAGCGGCGGCTGCTGCTACTGTGTTCGCCCGTTGTTTTGTACTTCCAACCGGCAGCAGAAGACCGACATACGAACCGAGAGAAGTACCGAGAGAAGTCGTCTGACAGACGAACGAGACAGACAGAGGGACGAACATATATACAAGGGAAGGAAGAGAGAGAGGCTTTTGTGAGAGCCTCTCGAGATTCTTGAGGACCGGCGGTGAAGCTCTGAGGAGGATCGCGATGCTCAGAACACTTTAAACAGGATCAACCCTTGCGGACGAAAGAGAGAACGGCCAGCCGACTCCTCACTTTGCGACTAAGTGGATCAGCGAACGCAAGCGAGGAGCCGTATCGTCTTCCCGGACGGAAAAATCTCGCAAGCCCTCAGTTTTGCAAAGCAAGCAACCTTTGTTTCAGGGATCCGTTGAATAGGAGAGCTCCGCCGTGACACTGGCCGATAGTTCGAAGCTATTCTTATTCTCTTCAGGAACGACGAGCAAAATGCTCCTGGCCGTCAGAAGTCTGGAGATCAGTCGCTAATCTAAATTAGTGAAAATCGATCTGCCTCCTTCCGACTAGAGCATCGCATGTATCTCCTGAAACTGTGAGAGGAGCGACTTTCGTCGAAGAATGGGAAGCCTCTCGTGGTCTTCGAGAACTCGGTTATCTCTTGACTGAACAGACGGGAACTCGCTGTTGTGTTGTTTCTTGCATTGAGGTGTGAGCACCGGTCGTCGTCGTGGTGGTGGTGACGGTTTTGGGCGACTTCGTCGGGACTGGAGTCAGAGCAGAAGGCGCGTCTGAAGAACGCAAAAGAGAAAGCCGCCGAGAGAGTGAGCAGTGACTGAGTGGTACTGATAGGTACAATGTGCTCTGCGGTCGTATGTGTCTCCGAAAGCGACAGAGGCGAGTACATGGGCGGGTGTATTGGTTGGCATTGTGTGCTGCGATACCACAAACCCGCTTGACTCTCTCGGTCGCTCACTCGCTCCGCTCGCCTAACTCTATGGTCGGATGGTTAGATTGCACCATGTCGCATGTACCGCGTGTTCTTGACTTTTGTTCTGCCTGATCTAATGGGCTGCGCATTCGAGACAGCGTAAATCGATGTTCCGATGAGACTTCTGATGCGATAAGGTTGAGACTTCTGATCGGTTTTTCTCGTTCAGACCTAAAACCTCGGATCTCCGCCAGTCGGTGCGTAGTTTCCCAGATCACAAGTCCCCGAACAGTCCCTCAGTCTCTCGTTCCCATGAGACACCTCGAATTCGGGAGCATAATATTTCCTGAACATATCCTAACACCAACAGAGTCCTAATAGACGATTCGACGCATCGAAAGTGGCATCATTACTCGGCCCGGTTCATCGATAGGACCCAGGATCCGTAGTTTGATGTTTATCGCAGAGGGAGTGCTACGAAGAGGTTCGATAGTTACACGTGACGATTCTCTCGTGCAAGCGCCGGTGAACACCCTGTAGAAGTGAGTCTCTCAGCGGATCGCATTGTGTCAAGTCGAGTGACTTTTTGTTGCGAGAGGAGAGAGCGCGCTTCGTTGAAAGCCGCACGGTCGCTCGCTCGCTGTGACGATGTCGGGCCTAGTGGCGGCGGCGGCGACCAGAGCTCTTCATGAAGTTCTAGTCACTTCAGCAAACACTACATAACAACACGCGAATCAGTGTCCTAGGTGTAGAGCGTGTCTGAACGCTTCGATTCTAATCAGCCTCTTGGCTGTGATTAGAGGTAGCTTCCGAAGTACCGCAGCTTCGTCGGCGGGATCCTCATTGGTCTCACAGGATAAACATGTCACGCGTGCTTCGGAATCGACGCCTGGCGACGTCCCGTGACATTGAGTTGTTCTGTTCGTCCCGCCCGGGGATTGAGGTTCCTTCGACTCGGATGCCGATATTGCACGAAATCGAAAGAAAACCTCCGACGTTAAAATATCGTGGCGATGCTTCAGGGAAAAACGCGGGCCAGCTGACGGAATCGCGCCACTCACTTCCCCTCCAAATGATGACATCGCTCTCCTCATCCTCGGAACCGGTGCGAATCGAGCAATGCGCAATCAATGGATAGCATTCAAATTCATTGCCGGTCGCCAGATACAGTCTATGGGGTCTGGCTGTTGTTGTCATTGCTGCCGCAGTCGGAAGAGCAAGAGGAAACGAGCGAGCAGAAGGGTTGTCAAAACTGTCACGTTGCTAAGTTTCCTTATTTACCCTTGAGATCTATCTTTTCTTCCAAAAACAACTCCCCAGACGACAGCAGCCGCACACACCGAGGAAACGAAGGAGTCTGCTTTTCCCAAGCGTCTCACTTCTCTTAAATCAACCGAATTTCGGCAACTCTGTGGACCTTGGCAACACGAGTCACGTACCAACTGAGCAGGGGAAGAACGAAGCAAGCGACCGACAAGCCAGACAGCCTATCCGGCCACTCGTGGCGGGAGTCGGTCTCCGAGACCGCGGCTTACTCGCATGTAGCGAAAAGTTGGCTCCTCGGCTTTTTTTTTCGACCAATCGCCAGTCCCGCGAATTTCCGGAGTTCACTCTCGATGCCCGGATTCCAGAATCTCGGAGGGTATCGAAAGATCCCCCAGGCCCAGAATTCCGGCTCGCGCATATCGGCTCCTCGCGTCGGTCCTCAGTAATTGAGTGATGGGTGTGTTCGGGGCACGTGAGAACTTTGGGCTCGCTCTCGATGGAGCGGTGGGACTAAAGTCGTGCTTAACCTCTTGGTTGCCTAATTAGCTTCTTTGCAACTTGATGAGTGGAAGGAGGGAGCCCGCCGCTAACCCGCCTCCTTAGATGCTCGTTATCGTCTGCCCTCCGAGTTTGAGGGACCTCGGGGAGGGACGGTCGGGTTGTCGACGTGAGATCAATACGCCTGGCTATCGACTCCGAACATGGGGAGCCACGATGATAGCGCGGTTGTTCCGAGAAATACCGCTTAGTCAGACCGGTGAACGATTGTCATGCGGATTTGCATAGACTACATCGTCGCTCCATCAAGCGGGACGTTGCTGTTTCGGAACAGGCAGCCTTTTTTAAGAGTCCTTCGGAAATCCCAGCGAAAACCGAACGAGGACTCGAGGTCAAAGTCCCTGGAGACTGGAGACCTTCTCGAAAAAAAAGGAGAGCAAGGCATTGATTGGAAATTGGATTGTGCAATTCTTGAAGTATTCTCCTAGTTCCAGTGAGCTAATCAGGCACAGACATTTTCCAAGACATTTTCCACTCAGAAGAAGATATTTTCCCAGCTTCGGTGAAGAGTTCGACTTCACCAGTGATAATGAGACCTAAAAGTACGAGTTGAGTTTAAAGAGACAATGACGATGCTCGAGTCTTACGAATGGCCATTCCGAAGACGTTTCACGTCCTCTACACGGTAGTGGCTCTGCTGCTACCTCTGAATTTTTTTCATCTCTCCAGAGTTCTTCAAATGGGAAAACTTCCCGTATAATCTCTCCAAGAGGCTTTTTTACCTAGACGAGTCGATGCGATGAGCTTCCACATGCCGTGGGCACACGAGGACTTGCGAGCCCTTCCAATGATATATACGACTCTACCTACTCTGTTCTGAATTCATCCTGAATGTAGGACACTCCGTAGAGGAGAAAACACGTACATCCCTCGACACGGTACGGATCAGATGTCTCTTTCGCGACCCCCCACGTCGATGCCCATCCGCGAATTTCCCGCCTTTCGGAACGAACGCATGATCCCTGTCAAGGGAGCACCATCCTGGTTCGTCTCCTCCTGTTTGTCATGCGGCCGAGGATCATTGCGAGATCTACCGTCCCTTTGTTCGTATGAATCGATCTCCTCCACGTCGTGGATCCTCGAACAGGGATGGTACGATTTATACATATTCCTCCATCAGTTTCCTCTACAGAATCCCAAATCACTTCACTCCAGCAGCGAGCAGGGACGGAAGCGGAGGAATCAGAGGAACGCGAGGATGGGCACTTATTGTCAACGTGGGACTCCTCAGGCATTCGATGGAAGAATCTCGAATCTGCAGTCGGACTCCTCCGTTTTCCCACCCGAACCTCCCTGCCGGGTACTCTCCGCCGAGAGTCATCGTTGAAGGGGAAAAGATGCCCTTCGGGATTTGCTCATTGATCTCTGGACCGGCTGTGCTCTTCGGCAGGACAAAACTCGAAATTAAGGTGGATTCGACTCATATCGCTTGAAATTCGAGGATCTCAAGACGACCGACAGCTTCGGAGGACACTCCATACCATAAGAGGAAATTTCCTTCACCGGATAAAACCAACGATGGGTAATCACGGACCTCAATGAATCGACTCCCGACGATTATGAAATCAAAGCGAGCATCGTCGAGAGGGAACACGGCCCTCCCCCAGCCCAAATACACTGATTTACGCGCCTCCAGTCCGAGTGCGGTGCCCATCGGATCCTGACATCGATCAATTCTACTAGATTTCATTCGACGCCTCCTAGGAAGAGGAACCCGCGAACTCCGTGCTCTTCAGAAGCCACCGATTGCTGGTGGGAACAACCCCCTCCGATTGCCGGTCTGGGGAAAAATTCCGGCGAAACTTCCGGGAGATGATTTTCGAAGGTTCAAAGGTGTGTGAAGTCTGGGCTTCAGACTCGAGCCGGAAGCGTCCAAGGAATAGAAATCGCGTTCAACAGGCTGCATATGCCAACCTGGAACCTGTTGTTCTCAATATCATATTCCGTTCCGAGACGGTAGGATTTTTTGGCAGAGACATTTCTTAGAAGCTTCTGATTCTGATCATCTATGGATCTGTCGTGTGAAGCAATATTGAGGAAAACTTCAGTGCACCCATCGGCACTGAGAGAATTCGGCCGTACGTCTAGCTGCGTTCATAACAATTGCCATCTGGCTCCCAATCTCGATCTGGGACGATGAATGAGCGTCTATTTGAGCTTATGGATTGAGTTATATCCATGGTCGAAATCTAAGCGAATATCAAGTCTTATCCTTGGACACATTACCTATTCAAATTATTTTCACTCACTTTTACGATATCGAGGGGAAGATTGGTGTTTCGGGTCCGCCGGAGGCTCTTCTCGAAAGTGGTAGATCTCGAAAACTTGCTAAGCATCAAGTGATCCTCATCGGCCGACGAAGAGCTACACGACGTCAATTCATCCATATAAACCATGGCGTCCGATGGAGAGCCCAGCAAAGTTTTCAGAGGGCTGGCAAGGTCCTCGAGCGACATCGGAACATCGGCCAGGGCTTCAACTGCTCGCTTCGAGCGGCTCCGATCGAACACTTGAGGCACTGTCGATTATGATCACTGGCCGAAAAACGTCTCAAACGATCGCAAAGCTGCGCGTTTCTCAGCGACTTCCGTCGGTCCTTCAATGAAGCGACATCTTTGTATGAAGAGGTCGCTGTATGTCTTTACGCGGCTCGGTCCGCGATCATTTGTATCTAGTTTAACGGTTGTCAGAGCCCAGGACGGGGCGGGACTTGCACCTCGCCGGGCTCCGCCTCGACCAATGGCGAGACTCGCCGAGTGCAGATGTCGTCCTCTCAAATGGATATTTGTGTTGAAACTATCACCAACCACCATTGTTGCCGCTCTAGGCTTCGGATCGAGATACTTGATACCGACAGCAGAGCAGTAGCAGTACTTCCCAGTTTACGACGCGATGACAACGTGACTTCCGCTCGGTGCTCGAAACCCCGTGTCGTCCCTCAGAATCGAAGTCTACCCATGGAAATCGATGTCCGCTCCCGCAAAAAATTTCACCTGGCAGAAATTATTCCTCACCGAAAACAAGGACAGTCTACCGTTTAGGGGCACCCACGAGCTCTCTATGGGGGGGCTCTGCGGACAATCACATGGAGGCCGAATTCCACAGTTTCCGATCCCTTTCGGCGAATGCCAGTGGAGATTCCGCAGGTCATGACTTACGACTTACGACTAATGGAATCGAATCCGGCGTTGGAATTTACACGTCCTCAGTCGGAGCTCGGAGCGGCGCTTGGCGAGATCAAAGAGAGCGACCGAACGCGGGGGAGGAAAATATCGGGAGTAATAAAGAGGAGAACGATTCGAATCAGGACTGTTCGAAGGAATAGCTCCAGGTCGATTGGAAAAGTTCTCCTTGGCGGCTAGTCTGACCTTCCCATGTTTCTCAAAATAGGAGCCCTCCCCGTTATAAAAGCCCGGTTCGAATTCACCCAAATAGAAGACCTCCCCCAATAGAAGACCGGACCATGTTTTTCCACGAGACTCGACCACTTTCACGCGGCTTCAAACGCGACGTCACCCCACAACACCTTCAAGCGGTACGATTGACGAGTGGTCGAGTGACGAGAGCGTCGGCCACTTCTCTTGCAAACGGAGGTGGTGTGGGTTCTATCCCTGCTGCCGGCGAAATAAAACTCACTGGAAAACAGGGACCTGGCATAGATTCTCCTGAATTTGCCATCCACTCTCTGGACCCGCTCTCGCTAGCAATGCGGGAAACCGGGGCTGTTGGATATCCCCCACGCAGTGTACGACAAGCGCATGCGCAGGTTCTCTGAGCGCGCTTTGTCTTCGTTTCTCTATGAATGAATCCGCATCGGGATATCCGTCGCCGTCGAAGACAGATCGAAGAAATAAGGCACGTGCCAACGTCAAGATCTCACCATGCCAAGACCGAGAGCTCGGAAAACTTACACCGCAGCGTTCAAGAAGAAGATTATCGGAGATATCAATCGTTCAAGCCATGTAAAGGTCTGTAAAAGCCATGCTCTCTGCCCGAGGATGGTCCGCAGATGGAAAAGTGATTCGGCTTTGCAAGCTCTAAGCGGCACTGACACCACGCGAAAACGAGCTCAGGGCGCGGGTAGGAAAACTTCCCCCGGACAGCTTGAAGATGCTCGTCGTTCTTGCCATCCGTGGCGATGGGACACCATGCAAACCTCTGGTCATTCTCAAAGGTTCGGCAAACACGGCGTTCTCGTTTGTGAGAGCCAGAGAGCCTGGGCTACCCAGAGCCTGCTCCGAAAGTACGTCGAGTTCCTTACTCCCCTGGTGACTAGGGGCCAACGTCGAAGCTTGCTTGTTTGGGATTCCGCAAGCACGCATCGAGCGAAAGGTATGAAAGCTTATCTGGAACGCAGGTGAATCGATCAAGCGATGATACCATCAGGCTGTACAGCCTATCTACAGAGCCTGGATATAGTCATCAACTAACCATTCAAAGACAGAATCAAGCTTGAGGTGAATAAGTATATCGAGACGGAATCTTCGCGGAATACCCGGGGCAACCTCGTGAGACCGAACGTTGCCACGGTGTGTGACTGGGTCCGTTTTTCGTGGGATTCGCTTTCTCCCGGTATATTCACCACCGCTCTAAGATCGTCATATCTACTCGTTGGCCAAAGCCTTGCTGACTTGGCCGTATACAAGCACGATGAAATCGGCCCTCTATTTCGATCTCACCTCGACACCCACAATGGGGAATCAACTTCAGTCATTACTCCTCTCACATACGAATCCGACTATGAAACCATCATCGATGAGTGATGTACCTCTCTTCAGAGTCATTCTATCAACATACGGGGAGTTGACGTACCCTTGAAGAATCTCTCCGCCATGAGATTTGCATCTTTCATATTTCCATCACCCCGAGTACTTTCCTCGTGCAATAAACTTTTAGTCACGTCATATTCCCAAAAAAAGTCGGTCTTCTATTGAGGGGGGGTCTTCTAATTTCTAATTGGGGGATTTTGAACCGGGCTTCTATAACGGGGAGGGCTTCGATTAGGAGAAACACGGTAGGAGAAAGATGGCATCGCGAATCCCCCTAAAGCAATCGTGCATTGGCGACCTTCTCACATGTCTGGAATGCCGACTAAGCTCATCAAATCTTTCCTCAAGAACCGACTCTCAACTATACGCGCAAACGAATATCGACACAATACACAACCAATGAATATATCTATACCTGTGTATTTTTCAGTCTATCTATCAACAGCCGTGTTTGGTTAGGTGTTTATACGAACGTCTGAGCAACTGAGGTTTCCCTTGATCAAATCTGAAGATGGATTAGTCTCCGATCAGAAACAGAGACCAGACCCCGACAGGACTGACTGAGAGCGACTGTCATCGACTACCGACGCTCGGAACTGGGGAGAGTCGATGAGACTGATACTTCGTAAAATTACGAAAAATCAAAAACGATTCTGCGCGAATGACATTATACGTGAGTAGAGTAGAGTACCGTTCTTCCTCGGCAGCGGTTTCCAGCTAAACGAGATAGAGCGTTGAGTTCGGTTATAGACTGAAGGAAACGTTTTTTGGAGCGAGTATTCGGGGGATAGGCGCAAGGGCGGCGACAGGTCAAGCGCCATTCCGGGACAACCAGGAACTAACTGAGAGATCTCCCGAAGCTCAATCATTGAGATCGATTTTCAAGTGGGAGAAGAAACATTCCTGTGCCGAAGGGCGAATCTCCACATACGATGTCCACAACCGGATGTTCGAAAATCCCTCTACTGAATTTCGGGGCAGGGAGGAACTTGGAGAGAGACGTCGAAGACGGCGGCCCGGTCCAGCTCTGGCCCCTGTTCGAGAGTCAATCCCATCACGGATCCTGTTCTCGACCCGACCGCCCTTGCTCTATGATATGGTCAGAGAATCAATGTATTTGACTCTTCGATGAATATGCAGGAGTTTCTCCTTCGTCTCGAGGACGTGCTGTGAGCTCTCCTATAGAATGACTCTCTGTCTGATTCATGGGCACCTCCTGGAGACCCAAAGACGGGAATGGGCCTGGAATGAGTGTTTCCCACTTCAAAAATATCCGGGAGAGACGTGCTGCGACCGAGCTTGCAGGCAACCGAGCCATAAGTTTCTTTGCCTGGAAGGCAACAGTGAGGAGAGAGAGCGCTCAAGATAGTATTCCCGGGAAATCGAGAAGTCCCCAGTTTTCGGGTTCTCTGACGTCTATAGAGCAGCGTTTCTCAAACTAGGGGGACGCGTCTCCCGGGGGAGACGCGGGGAAAATCTAGGGGAGACGCTTAGGGTTCCGAGAATTCCCGACCGACCTAATATCAAGTTTCTGAAAGCTTATCAAGCCCATTGCTACTGCACTCCAAGCTTATAATCATTGTACAATTAAAGGATCAAGCCGTATCTACGGATGAAACGGCACTGTGGCATGTCTCGGTCGAAACTCTATATTCTCAGATATTCGATGACCCTCGGAGGAGACGCGAGCGCTCCCCAAAGGGCAGAAGGGAGACGTAGGAGAAAAAAGTTTGAGAATCGCTGCTATAGAGCGTTTTCGAAGGAGCGGGAAGTCCCGAATTTATTCCTCACTCTTCAGCTCAAGGTATTATTCTCCGGGCTCTGTCTCACTGCCTCCCCATCACAATCGGATGAAACACCAGAGAAGTCGTTGACCGTGGAATGAGCCGTTAGGGAAAGCTCTGCGTCTGTTCCCTCTAGCGTGAGGAAGGCTCCGAGAACTCTGAAGAGGAAATGGGCATTCCCCAATATACTGACGATCGAAATAGATCTCGCGGTCCAAAACGAGCCTTCGTTTCGGCATAAGTCTCTCAGCATCAGACGAGGTCCCGCGTATGATATACCGTATTTTCCCTTACAGAGCAAGCGCCCAAAGTTCTTAACCTTCCCCCGGGGTGCCCTCCCGTCTAGGCTTGCCTTCCCTTTCTTCCAATCAGATACCTCGGAGAAAAGACCGGAGAAAAATACCTCTGCCATCGGGTTTCGACGATCTATCTTGACATACATGGACACTAGGAGCTTATCCATTCACGATTTCTCACCCGGATCGCGGGATGGCTCCGGATCAGACCCCAAAGTATCCTTCTTTATCGTCTGTCGGGGCTGACCAATGAAGCCGATCCAAAGGCCCCGAATACAGATTCATGTGTCGCTTGCTCATCTTCCCTCAAACACCTAGCTCCGCTCCCGTGAAAAGCGACTGCCGATACCTCAGATAATGGGCGGAGACTCAGGTAGTAATCCGCCACCCCTCGGCATCGATTCCCCCCTCCCCGTCTCCGTCCGAGGACATACAAAGTCCCCTACTATCACCCTTCTGTCGGTTCTGATGCCTTGACAATCCTGTCCTCAAGGTAGGCCTGAATGAGTCTCGAGAAGATCAGAAGAGGGTTATTCTATGAAAAGCCGTGATTGGGGTTTCGATCATAGACCAATCGATTCTACTAGGGTTGAACAATCGAATTGGGCCGTAGTTTATTCCCAAAAGTACAAATCAGGATCGATTCCTTCACGGGTACAAGCTAATCATCTCGATCCGGAGTTGAGATACCATTAATGATAATGCTTAATTTTATGAATTTGAATGTCCCGCTATATGGTATGTACAGTGTGATTATATTCGACGACTGAACTCCATCCTATCTCCTGCTTCGGACATTCTAAGACGGTGTCCCGGATATATTTACATCGATTTTGTGGTATTGGAACTTTGCTCTCAAGAAGCACGCGAGTACTATCTTGACTATTCTCGTGTGTTTTTTTCTCGCGGCATTTGAACTATAGCGGTGTATCACTTGCGAGTTTTCCTGTGGCGCCGTTCGTTGAAACTGCAGCAATCGTATCTATCCGGGGATGGTATCTATCTCGGATGCAATTTGCGAGGAGTTCTCTGTCGACCGAGGAGGGATTATTAACACCAAAGAATAAAGTTGACACCAAAGCTACGACGACAGTCACAGAGAATCCCGAAATGGGAACGAGGAGATGCGATATTGTTGTGGCCGCCTTCTTCGTAGAATCTCCCACGAAGGTGGCGATCGTGGAATTCACTTCGGAGAAGCTCATCGAGGAATTCGAACAGCCCTCGATCGAAGTCTCGAGCGTTTGAAAGTCATCCGATTGCAACGCGGTGGATACGATAACCAAACAGAGAGCCTGCCCCACAATGAGTCCGAGAAGAGCAGATTTTCCATTTATATGTGGCACAAGCATTCCAAGAGTGAAAACTCCGAGCAATGGACCTGACAAAGCGCCTGACATCGCGAAGGCGGCTTTGATCAAACTCCCGATTGAGCCGGCCAAGAAAGCGAGACCGATTGTCAGAAATCCGTAAGTGGCAGCTGGAATAAAGGGTGAGCAGAACTTATATGTGGAATTCTTTTTCTCTCGTTCCAGCTGGAAATGCGGATACTTCCGAGATTTTCACAAGAATGCGTTCGATCGGGAAGATAACGAGAGAGCTCACCGGCAGTTTTAGTAATCACGATCGCAGGCAGAGGTATGTTAGCAAATTGGAGGAAATCTTCGTACGCGACTGCCGCCAGGGAGTTGAATCCCGAGCTCATCGTTGATAGTGCGGCAGAGAAAATTACTGCTACGAAAAGCCCGGGCAGACCAGGTATTTTGCCGAGGACTTCCATAACAAAATAGGGCATCAGTTGGTCAACCCTGTCGATGCGCCCGGCCTTCAGTGGATCGCAATCGTAGTAATTCGCGTAAATCACTAAACCTAAGAGGAGATTCACGACATTATCAGTGAACCAGGTCGACATACTCCGTGATTAGAAAAGACTGCGGATAGATGATCATTGATAGACTACCTGCGAGACATCCGAGGGATATATTGAACATGACACCAGGAATGTTCCAGTACAGAGCCATTTTAGCTTTTTTGAGGGTGGACACCGAACAGAATCGTTGAACTTCGGTCTGAGACGTCCCGTAAGACCCCAACCATACCATGGTAGTACCTGGAACGCAAGAGCCGGCAATAAGTGCATGAGTAGGGCACAGGGAGCATTAGGAGCTTGTTTGTGTCCGAAAGAACTGCCGTCATAGAAGGGCTTTTCCGCTCATAGTTACCGAGGAGGACGTTCCATATGACGGTGCCCGAGCTGGGATCCCATTGGGTATTGAAGAACTGTATACGGCCACCTTGTTGGGCTTTGGCGAAAACCTCCTCAAGGCCGCCAGCCTTTACAATACCCGTCACAGACAGCGCGACCATTCCCAGCACAGCTATGGACATTTGAATAACATCGGTCCAGACCACGGCCTTGACGCCACCCTGGAAAGTCACAACTTGCAGTAGAGGTTTCTACTTCTCGACAGATCGAGCCAATTCATGATCGCAACTCGTGACTTTTCACCCACCAGTGTGGTGTAAAATGTACACAGTAAACCCAAGCCGACTATCGAGATCCACAAAGGAAGCCCAATTACTGGTTTCAGCGCCTGGGACGGTCCATATAATACAACGCCCATATAGAGGAGATTGTTGAGTGTGAATGAAATTGCTCCGAGCATGCGAACCCAGCGGTTGAACCTTCTCTCGAGATACTGAAAAGCAACAATAAAAACCCGTCTAAGTAATGCAGACTCATAGCCCAGAGATATCTGCATACTCCAAGGTCGCCGGTAGTTTTCCCAATGTCACAGTAGTTTGCCGTTTGACGGCTCAGTAATTTTTTTCTAGTCTTTAACCCATGCTCCCGCCTGGTCATGGAGCGACGACGAAAGACAGAATGGCACGTCTATCTTCCGATAGGACGTGATGGAACTTCAGTCTCAGACATGTCATACGGGCGGGGAAAACTTCACTCTCCCGTAGTTCCCCTGATTGAGATTACGTTAGCCTCTACAGAAGGTAAGGACTCTCAAAAAACGTACTCACCGAGTTCACAGACGTTAGTTTCAGCTCATATAGAACGGGCAGATAGAGCTCGGCGGCAATAATGTTCGAGATAGCCAAGCCGAATATGGCGACCCAATATTGTGTTCCTCTGTAAAACATTTCGGACGGATATCCTAGATACGTAGTCGCACTTTGGAACGACGCCATTAGCGACATTGCTACGGGGAAAGCTCCGAGCTGACGGTTCGCCATGAGGAATTGTTTGTTGCTCATGTTCTTCCGATCTTTCCATGCGAAATAGATCCCGATCAGCGACGAAGAGGCCAAAACGGCCACCATCATGAAATAGTCGAAAGGCGTGAAGTGATTTTCCGTCAGCATCTTCGCGGTATGGATGATGCGAACTTCGGCTGTATAATGAGCTGGACACGTCTACTTAAAGATCACAGTTAGGTTCGCGGCTGATGGCGACACGGTGTCCTACGAGCAATACATTGTGGCTACCTGAAAAGAAAAGTTGTACATGAGAGGAGTCTTCTCATCGTCATGAGTCACGCGATGTCTGCCGTTCCTCAATGCAATCAATGCCCGAAAGAAATTCGGGTTTGTCCCTCTGCGCGTCTCCGAGAAAGACTGGAATGATTCTTCGCGCGGTGATTTTCTTTCCCCGGATAGATTCTGACCTCGCATGAGGGCGGCGCCGACTTCCGTTCCTCCCATAAATCTTCGGGGAAGGGGCTCGATTATCATTCCGGAACATCGACAGCCCTGAGTGCTTCTTCTTGCAGGAGAAGATCAAAAAATTGATCATCTTTCATTCCCCTCCACAAAGTACTCAAGCCTTTATTACGGCTTGCTAACGGAGCTTCACAGAAAAAGTGGCGTTTTTTCCCTTTCTGGAACGTTTCTGGTATGGGGCTCCACTGGAGACAGAAAGCATTTTCGAAATTTTCACTGATCGGAGGGACTCTTCATTTCGCATCGACGACTCGATGGAATTACACAGAATCGATTAGTGAGCGGACTCCCCGCATTAGAAAATACCTCCGAACACGATCACGGTCGCCGATTTTCCGCTACTTCGGCTAGGCCGTCTCGAAAAACATAATCGAATGGACTCATTGCGTGTGTCTGTCTCGATTCCGGACTACGGGCTAATGGAAACAATTCTGGCACAGCCTGCCTGTCATCCGATCGGTGATTCCTGCTTTCGGACATGCCCGATGTCATATAACGCACTGAACAAGATTGACTCATGCTCATGATCCATAGTGTGTCTCTATTGGGGATTTACCAATGGGAAAGCTCCGAAGAACGGGAGGAAATTCGAGGAATAAGATGGGAAAGTCTAAGATCTCGCAGACGTCAACTCAGAGTAACACCGCCGTCGGCGATTGCGACAGATCAGCAGCTCCGCCTGCCAGACTCGGATGATTCCACGGAAATTCAGCGCATGCTGACTCCTGAGGAAGCGCCGTGTCCGCTGAGCGACTGATCAAGCAACGACCGATGCGGTACCGCAAGGGAGACAAATTCCGTCCTGAGAGCGGAACGAGAATGAGGTCTCCGATCCAGATTCCAAGAAATTCTGAATCTCGAGCATTCTACTGAGATCTTCGTTGTCGTCTTTCAGTCATTGCGTGTGAATTCAGGAAGGAGTTTGGATTGTCAGACTCACCGGAGGCACTTCCTCCTGAAATCGCTATGAATCACTCCAGAGAAGTCAGGGGGCCTACAACTCCGATCTCGAGGAAAAACCATATGCGAATGTCCTTCCACGTCCACTGCAGTCATCGAATGCCGATCGACGCTCTGAGGCTCTACGGCGCCCGGCGACCACGGCACCCCTCAGTATTCACGAATCAACGATCTCCGCCATTTCGGCTTGCACGACAGAATTTCGACTCCGCTATTGAAAATCACGTCCGAGCTCGGGGACCATACGAAGCCCTCTCATCATAGAGCACATGCGGGAGCGCCTTCGTATTGGGCGATTGAGTGCTGACGTTCATCCCGAGCATCTGTTACATATGACGTCTCGCCGAAATCGCTCAGCCGGCTATTGTCTACGAGTAAGCAATTCGGCCAGATGTACGAACGCGCAATGTAATCATGGGATACGAGCGATCGGTCCGAATCTGATGACCATCATTGGAAAGGATTTGTATTTTCTGTCGGAATCGCTTCTAAATATACCTGTGACCCCGTGGCATCGAACGTTTAGCGTTTATTATGAACAACCTTGCTCATTCCATGCCACTCGCTCAAGACCGAACAGAATGACGCGATCAGAATGGCTCAGCTCCTATGTCAAACAGAATTATTCGAATGTCTGGCGAAACTCCAGTTGAGAGTGTAAAGAATGTATTCTAAATATGTGGATCAACGGACAGACGCGCCAGGTCCATGAAGAGCATTCGAAACCCGAACGACCACCACGCCACCTCGGACTAGATGCTCGACGAGTCTTTGCGCGTTATTCGGAGCTCTTATGTCCGAAGAGGGCGCCCGATCGGCCGATCTCAGGTTTTGACAACATGTTTTCCATTCGGGGAGAGCCGCCCATACTTCGGCGATCCATCCATATACATATCTTGCTCGTCATCCAGCTCTGATATCATCGGATCAACAAATCGTTCCCTGCGGACCCTCGCAGCTCGGAAACCGGCCAATATCTGATTGCGCGCGGATTCGGGAGCCAGAAGCGGAAGTCTGCGCTAGTTATGTGCCAGACTCGGAAGCTCTGAGCGAACCATAACGGATGACCGATAGCGCATGTTCCCTGGGATGGTGGTGGAAGGCGACTTCGGATACTCAGTACCGAGTCGGGCATGATTCACTCCCGGAACACTTTTGTCGACTCGAGGAAGTCCTCGTTTACGCTTGAGACTCGGCGAAACGCGAGTTTGATCGATGTCGCGCAATTCCATCGACAATTCCAGTTTGGATTAGCGAAAGAGACAAAGCGCAGGAATAACGACTTCCCATTTCCTAGGCGGATATCCGACGGGACACTGAAGTGATTGCGGGATCGAGGGAAGAGCGAAGAGCACGCGCACAACGAGTTGAATCATGGAACGTAAAGGACCTACCACTCTAAAACGGGAGCACTCCAAATACGCGGAGAGGAACACGACGTAAGATGGCAAAAACCTGCCCGCGGTGAGGGTATGCTGGACGGAAAGAGACATAGGAAGAGAAATCTTTAGAGAGGAGGAAGCCTGCCTCAGGAGCTCCCATGACAAAATGACGAGCGAAAATGGGAAAATACGTCGGAGCAGCTCAGACGAGAACTTGCCGACGATTCCCAGAATCCGTTGTAAACTCCCGATTTTAGAGACTTCAAAGATCTCCACCAGTGACTTTTAGGAGAATTGGGCAGCACTCTCCAAGCAGTTCCGCGGAAGTCTGAGATTTTCGAGTATGCATGAAGGGCGATGAGATTGACTCGACGGTATGATTATCGTCGTATGGCAATCCCAGGGACTATAGTGGAGCTGAACGCTGTCAGGGATAGAGTAGAAAGTAGATGCGAGGCATAATTCTCTGCAAGTTTGTAGAGTGCCGATACGAAGATGAACCTTTCTATGCCGCGTCGATTCTCGGAGCCAGCTGAGCGTCTCGCCGATTCAGCGTACTTCCCACGTCGAAAATCTTGTGGGTAAATCAAAAATTCAAAGCCGGGAGATTTCCAAGCGTCATTCAAGTGTCAGCGTCAATCTCTTCATCTGAGGGCGGCATTTCCCCGATTTCGATGCGTTATGTTCCACGCTACCTTCCGTCGCTTGAAACATCCCGAAGACTGCAATTTTCTTTCTTCAATGAGCTGCTCGTCGGAGATACCGCGAGAGAGTCTTAATTTCATCGTTGTCGACCACAAATGGTGATCGCGTATGGGACTCCGCTTCTCAATTGTCTCAACAAGATTCCGACGGCCAGTGCACTACGGGGCCGCTTGTATCCGACTCTCCACAGGTTTCCAGGAGTGAAAGGGTTGAAGTAGGGAAAGTCCATGAGCTGAGCTCCGCTGGCCGATGCGTCAAGCTATCCCCTCCAAGGATGGAAGCGAGCGATCAGTTTGAAGTGGGAATTGACCTGCAAGACCGGACGGGACTTTTCCGGAACATTTGGCAAAGCGCTTGTGGGTTTTCCAACAGAGCGAGACTGACTACGTGCAAGCCGGCTCTTCGCTTCATTTCAACAGATCTTCGTGTCTTCCCCTTCCATACGCCGCGCCGTCATTGCGATCTCCGGTGAGCGCGAATGACCAGCGTTTTCGCCCTATCAGAGACGAATGAATCAAATGGAAATAGATGATCTCGATCCGTGACAATTAGGAAACACAAAGATAAGAGGAAGCAAAAGGGGATGAGAGAAAGTTGAAGATCACATCGGAAGCGAAACTCTACCCGGGATGTTCAGCAGTATAATTTGGGAGCATTCAAGCCGACGACGACGACGGCGCCGAGCATTCTAGACACTGATGCTTCCTACGAATTAAGGAAAAGAAGAACTCGCAATCAGCTACGTGATGCTTAATGATAATTCCGAGCGCCAAAGTGTTAAGGGACTATTTTTGAGGTCACCCTCAGCTCGTTTTCGGAAAGAAAAAAGCTGTATGAGCTCACAAGAGTGAATCCGGCATGCTCGAAGGGTCAGAAAACAAGATAAATCAGTGAACAAAACATCCAGTACATTTATTTTGCATAGAAACAATGCTGCGCAGGACAAAGCCTCTTTTCGATCGCTCGGAGGTCAAGAATCTCGTGAGTGTTTCATCTATTTACACGCATGCTCATACCAACTCGATGATAGGAACACGCTCATAGCAAGGGAACGCAAGTTCAACACAGGTGATCACGAAAGCGAAACTCATGCGCTCGTTCAACGATTTATAATAGAACAAAGCAAAACGATACGCATCGAAGTCAGTTAGTCGAAATAGTCTTCTAGATCTATATTCGGATCCAGCAGATTTTCTTTGAGATCAGTGAGGTCCAATTGGCTGTAATGCAGGTTCTCGATAACTTCTTCTAGGTCGGTATCACCAATCAGAATCGCTCCTTTCATTCGGCCATCCTTAAGAATTAGCTTAATGTACTCCACGTTCGCGGTCGTCCGGAGCAGGATCTCGTACTCGCCACCCAAGCCCTGCCCATTGAAAAGACCGATAAGTACAACTTTGAAACCGAAGAAATGGGTGGCGTGCGTAAACACCTCGAAGTAGGGCGGTATAAGATGTTCCGGTCCGGACATAGCGCGAGCGGCAGAGTCGCCCATCTGTCGAGCTTGAGTCCACAGCCGCATTTGCAGCCATAGAGCCTCGCTATTTTCCAGCGAGCAAACGTCTCCGGCAGCGTAAGTGTCGCTCAGCGACGTCTCAAACTTTTCGTTGACTGCTATCCCGCCATCAGGAGCTAGCTCCAGGCTATTTGAGAAGCAGCCCGGATTCGGAGTGACCCCGGTAGCGGCGAGCACGATATCGACAACGATCCGCTTCCCGCTTGAGAGCGCAATCACGTATTTGCGTGTTTCCTCGTCATACTCAACAGTTTTGATATCACACGAGTACTCAATGGTCAGTTTCTTGTTGGGTGAGTGGCCTCGCAGCTCGTTCTGCTCAGCCCAATCGGGTCCTAAAGCCGTTCCGAAGTCGACCATCTTCTCTCCTCTATCCGTCACAGTGTATCGCATGCGTTTGTAGATGGGACAGGACTTGTCGGGTTCTGCCTCTCGCGCCGCCAAACTCTGAGATTCCAAGAAGAAGTGAGCTGCGCCCGAATCCACGAAGGTCGATCCTATCGATTTGTTGCGGATTAGCCAATGAATTCGACAATCCTGGACTTTGTGGACGAGCTCTGTCGCGATGCCTCCGTTTCCAATTATTGCGATTTCGTCGGCTCCCGAGAGCTTTTCCCTCAAATCGTCCACCGTCTCGGTGTCTCGAATCACCAAAATCCCCGGCGCCTGGAACTCCCGCGTCGGCGTGGCACCGGTGCAGATGCAGAGTTTCCCGTAGTCGAGTGACATCCCGCTCGATAGATGGAGGCGTTTCTTGTCCGGAGTCCAGGCATCGACGCGCGCATTGTGAACTTTCAAATTCGGGAACTGAGACTCCAATGCAGTCGCTGACGACTCTCTGACAGTGAACTCCTCGATATTCCGCGTTATCTTGAGGACATCAGCCACGACTTTGAGTACAGGTGCGGCCGAAATTAGGGTGACAGACTTACCGGTGTTCAGAAAACACAGTTGCTGGGCACAAGTCACTCCGGCGATGCCTCCGCCAACGACAGCGAAATCCGCGAAGTGGCTCCCGTGACTCATGATACCGCAATCCTTCCCTCAATCATGCCATTGGCGATCAGGGATACGGAAGGGAAGTTCAGAGCTTTGCCCGAGGAGCTTCTCGGGGACCTCTACCCTATTATCGCTGAGGCTTGAACTCTCCTGTATTCGAATGCTTCTCGGGCGCCGCCATCATAACCTAGGAGACGAATGCGCATGCGCCAAACGAGTTTCGATGCGCGCGAAGTTCAGTCCGATCGTCGAGCACGTACACGCATCCGTTTTAGGGGAGGGCAATCGATAATTGCAATCGAGCCGGTCGCAACATTTGAATCGAGGACCGAGGGTCGTGCAGCGCGGACCTTCGGGTCCGGACCCCTCCATGAGCGGGGATTTCTCGAGAATTTCGAAGGGAATGTGCAGCCTCCAGAGACAGGCTCGCAATCCCCTAGGACTAAAGGCCATACGAGGGGATCTCTCAGATTGGGTAGAGCATCCTTCTACGGAAACGAATGGAAGTTCTCAGTTTCCGGCGCCGTTGCGAAATCGATTTTCCGGCGCGACGCCGGCAGGCTGGAGCGGCGTGCTCGTTGAAAATACATAGGATCGCACGGACCACATCCCTGTCGTCTCGTGCGGACAGTCGCTCCCCCGCATTCGGCGAGCGCTTCTCGCGACCTGCGCCATTGCCGCCCCTCCATTTCGCGCTCCGGAGCAGGACTCATGGTACTCGATTCCATTCCGAACGTCATAGGCCTACAATCACGTCGGCGTGAGGTGGAGAAAAATGGATACAAGCGTTGAAACCACTCAATCATCGGCAGCTAGATGTGCCAGAAAGTGGTAGACGCTCCATGCACCATATGAGTTGAATCTTAATAATCAGCCGTAGCTATTTGTTCGAAGGGCGGTTCCACTCGAGCTGCTGTGTTCATCCAGCGCAATGATTCGATTTATTTCAGAAACCGGTACCACCCTAGCGAGATGCAATGCCCATATTCGTATTTACTCAATGTTGAGCCCTGTTCGCTCAAGCTTGGAACTTCGGAGGGTTCCCGGAGACGGCCCGTTTTTGGAGGTGACCCATGCCAATCGGCCGCGTCTCTCGAGCGGCAGGTCGGAGCTCCGCAGCGGACCTCTCCTGCCCGGTTTTCGGACTTGGGTCTCAGGCACGCTCACGATGAAAAAACGGTCGATTCAATTCATCTTAATACACTCATTCACTCATAAATTGACAGATTTCTATGTTTGCGGATATCCATTGTATTGGAGGGGTATGTACAATCGTTGTTCTTGGCAGCCTTTTCTATGCGAGATGATTCAACAGCTGTACAAGGCTCATGTGGCCAGGGGATTGGCGTGAATCGTCACCGAGTTGATTCGTTTCTCTATATTCGGTCGATAATTTTTGGGATTGACCGGTATTTTCTCCAATTGGTCCAGAACCTCGAGGCCGTCTATCACCTGTGGTACATACATAAATATGAATTAGGTAATCCAATTGCAAGAGCCGAGATCCCTCACCGAGCAGGTATGATGCCCTTGGCTGATATACTTTGATGATACTATGGTCATGGAATGGCCAATCGGAATATACGGGAGCATACCTTAGCGAAAATCGTATATCGAAGATCCAGCTGCGGTTGTTTGCCGTAAGTGATGAAGAATTGGGATCCATTGGTATTGGGCCCGTTATTAGCCATGGATACAATACCTGGAGGCGAACAGCCAGCGTTGAAGTTCAGAAATATTAGTAGACGATCAATCTTGAAGTATCTTTACAGCGATAGTGAGTCCCGAGAAGAAACGAGGGCGGCAAACGGGGAGATCTGCTGCCTCGTTTTCAGCATTCGCGTCGTAAAATTCGAGGGCTAAATAAAGATTTCCAGAGATGAGGAGGCTGTTCCGTGCAGAATGAGTGAATCGTCATAGAGTGGTTGCATATTTCTTTTCCCTCCTCTCACTACAGAAAGCTGAATGCCTGATAGAGTCCTGAGGGCTCAAAAATAGATTCGGGGATACCTCGTTCGTAATGTTTTCGATCGGCCTTGAACTCGTCCTCGAACTTCGATCCCCAGATCGACTCTCCGCCTTTGCCAGTATTGGTTGGATCACCCGTCTGTACGATGAATCCTTTGATGTTCCTGAAAAGCGAGGAACGTTGGCGAGGAATTGCCAAGCTGACTCTGGAGCATTCCCCATCCATGGCCCATGTCCGCTACTTACCGGTGGAAAATGCATCCATTGTAATAATCGGAGGCACATAGAGCCAAGAAATTCTCGCAAGCTTTCGGAGCGTCTTCACAAAACAGCTCGAGCTTGATGTCTCCTACGTCCGTGTGTAGAGTAACCGACATCTCGTCTCTTTCGCGGGCGAAGCGAGAATACGACAGACGGAATAAGCTGTTAAGACGATTCAACTTTGAAGCTCCTGCCTTACGATGAGAAAATCTTCTTCCTCGAGTATGCAGAATGCCCGTGAAAGAATCGCAGGAAGCGTCAGCTGTTCTTTTCTGCCACAGATGAGCGTTGAACAAAGTTCTCCTTCTCCATTACGAAGTTCCGCTTTCTCTGTCTTCTCTCGACAAAGTTCATCAAAGGATGCGATCGATATAACCCAGCGTTAAGTCCGGACTCACCGGTATGTCGCGTATTCTAATCCAACACAGTAGAGAGCTTGATACTCGAAAAGTTTCGTTTGCTTGAACCGGCCAATTTCGTATGTTCCGACTCCTTCGCTCACACGATCATACGACGCGATTATGTGTGCTCGAAAAGACGCTCAGCAAGCTACCCATTAGAGCTCGGCACGGTTTAGCGAGAAATGAACAAAGAAAGAACGCGGGCTACTACAGGTCCGCAAAATATATTTTCCTCGTACAGGGCATCGAAACCTGCCGCCGATTCCGACCAAGGGGGACGGCCATATTGGCGAATTGCGCGGAGAGCAGTTCGGCGCGCTTTTCGAAACTCCGAGAAATGTCCGCATTCCATCGGTAGGTCCCAGATCCCTTTCAAGATTAGACTCCGAGGATCCTCGGAGTGAGAAACCCGAATTTACGGAGTTTTCTCCGCAGGGCCCTCACAAGAACCAACTTCGAGAATGCTCTATATCTGGGACCCGGGAATCGTGGGAGTCCTACCCTCAGAAACAGCGATCTTACAAAAGTCAACACCGAGAATTCTCGGAATGAGGAAAAAGCCTGATAATTTTCAAAGTCCCATCTTTGCTGGAGACCTCACAGGACTATACTCCGAAAATGAGAGTCCTACAATTCCCGAGCTCTTTGACCCGAGCCTTGTCGGTGTTGGTTCCTGTAATGTCTCTGACTATAAGGTCTGTGGAAAAGACTCCGACGATTCAGCGAAGTTTCATTTGCGAGAGGAGGTTCTCAAAAACCATGGCACAGTCCGTAAGTTTCTTGACCATGAGATTCGGAAAAGTTCAACTATTCACATAGTGCTACGTCTCCATGGATGATTGAGCGATTGTGCCCGCGCCATCTCAAGATTCATGATCAACTGGTCGGTCTCTCTAATTCTGTTTCTCGCACCTATTCCATCGACGACGCGAGCAGGACCAGGCCAATCAATGAGTTTCGTCGGAGTCGTGTATGGCAGAAGCATCGCCCTCCGAGTGTTCACATAGACACGACTGCAGAAGCGAAAAATTCAGGTGATCCGGTCCGACCGGCAGAGCTACGGATATCCAGTCGGAGACGGTCGATTCCTCTATTTCCGGATTCAGCTCTCGTCGATTGGCCGCTTTCTCTATGAAAATGATAAGCGACGAGAGATAGACAGACACGGAAGACGAGTCAGTGACCCGAGATTGAAGGATCAGGGGTTTCCCCGACAAAAGCTTACTTAGCTGAAGTGGGTCCAGAGTTCAGTCACTACACTCGTGAAGCATCGAAGGAGCACTTGGGTGAACTTCCCGCGAGACAGTAGTTCCTTGAAAGAAAGGGTCGTCTAATCATCGCAGTATCTAAATAGGAGGGCACAAGCGATGGCGAGGGACCGGAAGGTGGATCGGGGGATCGGAGATCGACTGGATTCTCTTTGAAGAAGTCTCGAGGAATTATTCCTTTTTGGAGATAAATCGATATCAAGCAATCGATGGGCCAGATGCTGCACGATATCAAGCAGCCGGGGTCTCAAATTGGAATCGAACACGCTTCGATTCGAGAGCAAGCTACAACGGTATGATTTCGCGGGCGAAGCGCATACCCGGGAAAAACGCGCTTCAGAAGAAACTCTCGCCGCTCCCATTCATCTCAATAATTCTCTTGAGAAAAGCCTCGCACCGGTCCGGACGGCGGGACAGCCTACGAAGTTCGAATATCGTTTTTTCCCTCCCGTGCATCGGTCGCAATTCGCGAGGACGCTCGCGCGCATTCCATCTGTCCGTGAGCCCCGGAGCGCCTCCCCGAGCACCGGTCGTCGTCGACGAGGCACGTCGTCGGCTACTCATCGCGGTAGAATCCAACGGCAGTTGTCGTCGAACACTCATGCGGACCGAGGGGAGCACCGCTTAAAACCGGCGGCAACTTCGGCTGTGCTCAAAAGGAAATCAGAGTTCGTAGTTTATTTTCACGACGTCGTGGCGCCAGCGGAGTCGAGTCCGGAAGGGGAACGAGTGCCGATCTCTTGACTGCTGATCAGAACGTGTCTCAGCCGACGCGACGAAATCATCGCAAAGATGACCACTTCAAGATCCTCAGGAAAACTCCGGGATTCAGGCACTGACTGGGCGTACGGCGGGGATGTGATGTCGGTTGCTGACCTCCGGAAGAAAGTCAAGTCCCTCATGGATAAGCTCCAGTTTCCCAGTGCTGTTTTCTGGGCAGACAAACTCGTAGGTTCTATTCTTGAGAATACCTTTGAGTGCCACTGCGCGCGATACCTTGCTACTGGTCTTTTCTTTTTCTCACTCGTAACTCTCATCCGGAGAGGGAATGTTTTCCCTGCCAGCCCTTTGATCACGTCTCAGAGCTTAGAGAATTCCTCCCTTTTTTCGTTTCTTGGTCTGAACATGTGATACGATCTCTCCGGCACTGCCCTCGAAGCGTTTCTTCCGGCTTGATCTCTCTGATTTACGATTCCCTCGATCCTTACCCCGTTCCGAGTCCCACTAGCCTTGACGATATGTTTCTCTCTTCCTGCAGGTGACGCTTAGCAAGGATAAACCATCAGACGTTTATCTATTGGCATCCTGTCTATTCCATTCGAGGCACTTCCACCGCGCAGCAGAGGTGGTGAAACGGCGAAATCTCCACCAGGAGAACCTCAACTGTCGTTTCATCGCGGCGCTCGCGTATTTGGAATCGAAAGAATACGAATTAGCGACTGAGATTATTGATCTGCCTGCCATACGGAGCGACGATCAGGAATTGCTAGCAGCTCTCGAAGTTATCAAAGGACGTCTCTACGAAACCCAAGACGACACGCCGAACGCAGTCGAATGCTACAAGAAAGCTCTCGAGCACGACGGATGCAACTACGAAGCTCTGTATCTCCTAGTGAACCACCATATGCTCAGCAAGGAAGACGAACTGGAAGTTCTTTTAGTGGTTAATCGGAACGAATTTACTTACAATCTCTATTCATCTCTGCTGAAAAAATACGACGAGCCCGAGAAACCCCGGCCCCCGATCCTGCGTGGCCTGGAAAACAACGTCGACCTTCTAACGAACAATGCGGAAAAGCTCTTCTATAACTGTGACTACCGGCGATGTCACGAGCTCATCAACGAGATCCTCGACCGGGACCCTTTCTGTCCGGAGGCGTTGGAAGTTCAAATTGCTTGTCTCATGGAGCTGAACAAAGTCTCTCAACTGTACATCCTAGCTCATAAATTGATCGATACCTACCCGGACCACGTATTATCGTGGTACGCGGTGGGCTGCTACTACTACCTCGTCCGGAAAGCAGCCGACGCGCGGAAATATTTGGAGAAAGCCACCACACTCAGACCGGCTTTCGGTCCCGCTTGGCTTCTCTACGGCCACGCATACGCGGTTGAAAACGAACACGATCAGGCAATGGCTGCTTACTTCAAGGCGAATCATCTTATGCCGGGGAATCATCTCCCGACGCTCTACGTGGGACTCGAATACCAACACCAGGCGAGCACGAAGCTGGCTGAGAAATTCTTCGAGCAGGCGCAATCGATCGCGCCCAAAGACCCTTTCGTCATCCATGAGTTGGGTGTTGCGGCGTACGAGAACGGAGATTACGATGCAGCTCGGGGCTACTTTGAAAAAGCTCTGGAACTCATTCAGAAGCCCAATCACAGCGCCCTACCCGAGAAGTGGGAGCCCTTGCTCAACAATCTGGGACATGTCTATCGAAAATTGAAGATGCTCGACAAGAGCATCGAGTGCCATCAACAGGCGCTGGTCCTAAATCCATATTGCTCATCGACGTTGGCCAATCTCGGCTTCGCGTATTCCTTGAAGCTCGATTGGGATACCGCCATCGACCATTTTCACCAAGCCCTCGCCCACAATCGGGATGACACGTTCTCGACAACTATGTTACAGCATATTCTCGAACTCATGCTCGCCGAGAAGAACCTCAACGACCCACCAAGCAGTGAAGCTCAAGTACCCGTTAAAGAAGAGGATGGCTCGCCGGAGGTGGCAATGGAGTAGAGAACCGGATTGATTGTTGGCCGTGAAATTCGATGTATGTATATAAAGTTGAGTTTTTGCATTCCTCCAGGACTATCGTGGCTCTGCTTGCCTCCTTTATTTTACCGAAGCAATACCCGGGCCGGCAGACCATGCAGCTGCAAATGAACCGCACGTCATCGAAAGAAAATTCGCTGGTGACGGTCTCGCTGATGGTGACGCATTCCGCTGATCATGGGGTCAAACAGTGGTATCGGAACTTGTCGTCAGTTAAGCGGTCGATCTGTTGAACGGAATCGGCTCAACACCAAAGACGCACCGGCGCCTACCATAACTTGCGAGAGAATATGATTTTCTCCGCAGAGCGTTCTGATTGATTCCCGGAAAAACGGTCGAGAATAGAGGGCTACTTCTTGAGTGAAATCCGTGAACCTCGGAGAGATGAACACAGTCCGGTTAAAAACAGGACGTTTTTCCGGCGTTGCCTGCCGGAATGGCTTGCCTGCGATTTGCGGGCCACGAGCACGTCGGACGGAATCGGCATCGATCTCGTGTCACTAAGCCGTCTCATCGCAGCCCGCACGCGCTTTCCAGTACCGAAGACATTGCCTAGACACGAGGGGTTGCCTAGACCCTCGCTCGACCCCCTGTCAGCTCCTCCGAGAGTTCTTCTTGGGGGCGGTTCTTCGAAGCATCAAATCGTCTGCTGCGGGAGACGTGTCGATTTCCTTCGTGGATTCTACTCTCGAGTCCAACCCTTTCCAGGTGACAGCGGGCGGCTCTAGTGCACGGGACATCAGGCTCCGACCTCGGGTGAGAACCAGATCGCGGTTTCCGATTCGGCACTGCCGAATCGGCAGTGATTTTCGCCTCCGGTCGGAGAGAGATCTCCCTGAAATTGAACGTGTGTGGGACGGTTTTGTTTATTTCGAACGAGACGAGATTGCGGTTTCAAAAACTACGCATATTCGCGGATTTATGTGACCACAAGATTTCGCCAGCGGCCCATGCCAGTCAATAAGTGAGCCGGGGCATCTGAGGACTCGACGAGCATCTGATCGAGAGCGTCATTGGGCGCGATCCCAGGTAAGAGCTGTTCGGCTCCGCTTCCCTGTGGGAAGCCCTCCCTCGCGGCCTCTCAGCCATTCCAGACGAACCGAGTTAGCTTGAGCCGATGGCGGTAGTCTAATCGAGCTTCAGAGATTGTTCAGTGTGAGGGTGCCGTTGCGCGTTCAAGACCGTGCATGGAAGGTGATCAGAATGCGAAATCCGATCGTGGCCTACATCGCCGGAGCTATGGCAGGTTTCGTGTTCGGATGTCTCTTCAGATTCGACACATACCTCGCGAAAGATCGCGGTGGTGATTCGAACGGTGGAGGGACAGCCAATCAAAGACTCATTTACGTTGTGACGCCTACGTACGCGCGACCCCAGCAGAAAGCCGAGCTCACACGACTGTCGTACGCCTTGCGTCTAGCAGGAAACATCCATTGGGTGCTTGTGGAAGACTCAGCGAAACCAACGGAAATGGTTTCAAGCCTGGTGAAACAATCTGGGATACCGTTCACATTGCTCAACGTTGAAACTCCACCGGAATACAAATTGAGAACGAGAGATCCCAGCTGGCTCAAACCCAGAGGAGTGCTCCAACGGAACGCGGCTCTCCATTTTTTGAGGGAAAAAACGTCCCCCGAGGACGACAGCGTTGTGTACTTCGCCGACGATGACAATACTTATGATGTTCGATTGTTCGAAGAGATGCGTCTCACGAAGAAGGCTTCTGTGTGGCCTGTCGGTTTAGTAGGGGGACTGATGGTGGAGAGGCCGATCGTCATCGATGGTCGCATAAAACGCTTCAATGCTGTGTTCAGGCCCGATCGAACCTATCCCATAGACATGGCGGCGTTCGCCGTGAGTCTCAAACTCCTGAAAAATCATCCGGACGCCGTTTTCTCGCTCAATGTGCCGAGGGGTCATCAAGAAACCCATTTCCTAACGAAACTCCTATCTAGAGTCAGCGAGCTCGAACCCCGCGCTGACAACTGCACAAAGGTTTTGGTTTGGCATACGCGAACGGAGAATACAGATCTGAAGCTGGAGAAGAGACTAGCGATGCCTTCAAACCAGGGAATCGAAGTATAGGGAGCCGATTAATCAGAAAGCGTCCGTCAACATCCGCTTTCAATTATACGATCGGTGTTGGCAATGCTTCTGTTAACGTGTCAATCGGTCCGCCGCTCCCGCTCATGCATCACAAAGGACGACAAACATGCGATTAGGGAGGTCAACCCGAATCGGCCTGTCGACGCGCAGAGGTCTCATTTACAATAAGTCAACCTCGAGCCTCGCCTCTTTCACAGAGCTGACTGTGGCGACCCTCCGAGGAAGAGCTTCGCTTTCATTCTATCCATGACTTTTCGAGGTGCATGGAACGGGCCATGTCCGAATGTTTGTTCGAGTTGCCATTGTGTTTCCGCGAATCCCGACGTTCTTCTACCATGTTGATTGTCCGTCAGATGCCGTGGACGAAGATCTTTCAACGTGGTTTCCGCTCAAATTATTCCACGTTGCAGGATGTACATACACAAATGTAGATTTTCCACAAAACCAGCTGACAAAGGCTACGAATATCGATTATGCTTGTGAGTCACGCGGAAAGAAGCTAGACGGGTCGGAAGACTTACGCAACCCGGGAGAAGATGACTAGTCAAAGTCCCAATGTATCGAGGCTTCTGAGAGTTTAAGGATGTTATATCCGCACACCGACACGGAACGAAACAATGCAATAATTGTTACTGAATCAAGAAATCGAGGACATGAATCTCCGATGATAGTCAAGATCGGTTCAGACTGAAGATGTGCTCGATTAGGTTGTTGGTGAAATGAAAAATATGAAGGATGTTTAATACGAAATTCGTGTTTTCATTTGATCAACTTCTGGCAAACGCAATCCGACGAACCAGGAAACTTATACCGGAAATGTTCCCGCTTCCCGCGATAGCTCATAGTTTGGTATATTTGTGATTTTTCAGTGAACAATCATCATGGAGATGCCGAGTGCTTCGGGCGCCTCGTCCAATTCGGAGGAGGATGATTTGACCATTCCAAGAGCAGCCATGAATAAAATGCTCAAGGAACTGCTTCCAAATGTGAGGATCGCCAACGAGAGTCGGGAGCTCGTGCTCATGTGCTGCACCGAATTCATACATCACATAGCTACGCAGGCGAACTCGGTTTGCAATAGCAATCAAAAGAAAACAATAAACGCGGAACACATCCTGACCGGTAAGGCTCGCTCAGAGAAATTTCCACGATCTTTTCTCGCCATCATCATCTACCGAACTCTCATCGATCGAGTCGGTGTCATTCAATGTTCCTTTATAAATTTCAGCACTTGATGATCTCGGCTTCAGTGAATACCGCGAAGATGCACAAAGAGTCTTCGCGGATTGCAAAGAAGTAGCTGCGAAACGACGGAAGCAAAGTACGCGACTCGAGCACCTCGGCGTTCCGGAAGAAGAACTTTTAAGGCAGCAGCAGGAACTCTTCGCTAGGGTTCGTATTGAAGGTTTTCCTCCGCGAAGTTTCTCTGGCCTATATAATTGGCAGCTTTCCGATAATTGACCTATGGCTTCACAGGCTCGGCAGGAGCAGGCTGAACAAGCGCAGCAAGATTGGGTCCACATGCAGCAAGCTGCAGTAGCCGCATTACCAGCGGTGAACGATAGTGATGACGATGACTACTGAACGACCGATTCCGGGCAGGGCTGCGGCCGCGTTTGTTGGAGTGTAATGTCGCGAATTGTAAATTACAAGATGGTTTCGATGCAGTAAAGTAAACCGTTCTCCATGCGATGGCGATGTGTTCTGAATTGCTGAACCATAGTTTCATGATGATCTCCGGTAAATAACAGAAGCTTGAATATCCGGATATGTACCTCATCATCGCTTCCCGAGGAAATATGCCTCGCCAATCGGACGCGCTGCTCGGATCCCTGGTGATGGGGTGTCGCCTGAGAAGTATACTACAGCGAGAATCGAAGCAACAGAATCGAATCGTCCGATTGATCATCGAGCATAGATTGGCGTTCCGCTTGATATTCGTGTTCGGGGTCCCATCCCTAACTCTCAGGAGGTATTCGAAGCTGACTCCTGGCCGAGTGGCGGACCATGCCGGAATATCGCGTGGGTTGGAGTTCTCGAATCCTCCCTCTGGTCGCACATACTCCCGGGGAGTGCCCACCCTCCTAGGAGGGCGGCTCGGGAATTCCTAGTGTCAGCTTCTGGGTTCTGCATTTTGTAGGGAAGACCACATTTCCATTCCGGAAGGTCCATTCCAAGAACCGCCGACATTTCGACACATCAATGTCATGGAGAGATTCCCTGGGGGATCAATCGGATCAGAAACCGCCAATCAGACGGATACTATGAATCCAGACCGACTTTCTATTTCGAGCTCGCCGTGGCGATGCTGTAGGTCACAGCGAGCGTTCGCAGAGCTGCCAACGAAGATCCATCGCGGTGTATGCATAGGTCGAGCTCTCACTGCTTAGACTCTCGACCGGGGAGAAATGAATGGAGCTCCACCAGGGCATCTGTGATCTCCATTCCACTATCTTGGACGAAAGTTATTCCCCGAGAGGTCAATCACTGTAGGTACCATCGATTTAGCGATCCAGGCATGGGTTCGAATCCAACATTCGACTTCATGTCGATAGCTCTAATTCTCAACAAAAAATACAACAGGTGATGTTGTTCGCAATGAGCGGGAACAGTCGCATTCGATCCGCATGACTTGTTACCAAGAGGCTCCCGGGATTATAGGAGTCGCCTCATGCCAATCTTCATTCGAATTCAATCCCTCGAGAATCCCTCATCTTAGACTTAGGAACCGGTTCTGTTCTGGAAATTCGAGACTATTGATAGCGAGGAGCGGCGCGTGGGAGTCCGGGAAATTTCAGAGTCGGTTCATGAGGAAAATGCCACAGAAACGAGAGGGGCCCCTCATAATTTCGCCAATCGCGAGCCTATTCTTGCATAATTCATCATCATCATCGCATCGAGGTGGCTTCCGATGCCTTCTCAGCAGAACGGCGGGGCAACTCTGCTTCACTCAACTTTCCCCGCTGACGTGAAATCCCATCGGTATGCACGCGACGTAATTGAATCAGCTGCGGGGCCCCTCGTTGGGGTACCCTGAAACGAAAGAAAAGGCGAAATTCTTCGAGCGAGCGCTTAGTGAACAACACTTGTACGTCGACGACTTATCGCTAATAGCTGTCGATAGTTGCGAACAAAAACTGCGCTAGGACAAGAGAAACTATGGGTTCTCCCGATTCCCCCAGGATCTTCACATGGACCCGATGAAGTTCAATACCCCGCCCGGAAAGCTCTCAGAGATTGAGGAGCTGTACAGAGACAGGTACTCGTGGGGTCCTCGGCAGAGTGACTCGGTGGTGCTCTGGAGAGAAGAAAAGTGAGACTCGTGCCGGTTCGGTCGGAATCTTCAAATGAGCTTGGGTGGTGGGTGCCACTCTCGTGTACGAAGTTCTCGTATGGGTCTTCGGCGGACTCAATGAATAGTGCATCCACAAAGGTCTTCTTGTTGTGTGCTTCTCTCCCACCCTCACCGCTCCAACAAGTGACTGAGCGAACGAGCGAAGGAACGACCGACCGACCGACGGACCGAACGAGCGAGCGAACGAATGAGCTGCGGCGGCAGCGGCGAGGATAGGAGCTGCTGAGCAAGATGGCGGCGCGGCGTATGTTCTTCTTCTTCTGATCATCTCCGTAAGACATAGATACGGCGACACATCAACATCGAGTTGTCTTGACGATTCCCATCCGTGAGTTCCTACAACTGTGCCAGAGGAGTGCTTCGGACGAACTGAGGATTCTCTGCAATGACCGTATCATCATCCAGTGTGTCTATGTATTCGTGAACCCGTCGTGTCAAGTGCATTCCGCCGGACCGTACCCTCGGACTCGATCCAGAAAAAACGCTCAGCCGAACTCTGTTGATCCAGAAAAGGATAGATATCATGTCGGACCTCTATCAGTGAGCTGCGCTGGCTAGGGGCTGAAGTAAGACTCGGATGTTACGTACCTTTCTTCTCACTGGTGGTGGAACTCACAAACAACAGGTAGTTGATATTTGCTTGCCCTCTCACGACACGAGACCGTAGAAATCATCATTCGTACATAGCAAGGAATTTTATTCCGACGCACTAACTCACCATACTGATTGATCTTCTTCGTATGATATAGGCGGAGGCCTCAATGTGAAGTTTATTGTTCGAATCAGCGGCTTCCTATATGATTTCTAACGTGTGGTGCCGGAGCTTCGAAGGCACATGTGGTGATGGTGGTGGTCGCGGCGGCGGCAGCGATGGCTTTAACAGCAGCGTCAACATCAGCCGCGGCATGACGGTTGCTGACGAAGTAGTAGTTGTAGAGCCGAAACCGAAAATTCCCACAGTACATCCGAGGAATTATTATCGGCCGAGCATGAGACGGAAACAAAAAGATACGTTCGGGTGATTCCGATCTGTTCATTTGGAGCGGTTCGAGCATCTTCGGCTCAACTCCAGGCTGTGTACACACCGCATATAAATTCGTCGACGGAGCTCCTCAATCTGTTTCGGCACCGAAACGTCTCTTCCGTCGCTGCTGAATTTTCCGCGGAGGCTCCGACTCGCGGACATCGATTGTTGGCTGACGTTTATAAATTTTCGGTGGAATGCTTTCGAATTCCGTGAATGGAGCCAGCGGCTCACCACAATACGGCGAGCACGGACATGTGAGTTCAACTCTGGGGAAATGCTCGTGGAAAAACATTCGTTGAGGTGATCGGATTGTCAGGGAGGCCGCTCCGAGTCTCGGGTCTCTTGAGAATCTTTGTCATCAACATTTGATAAGTTCAGAATTTGATCGCCGTGGACCCGCGAGAGTCGAGTTCAAGCGATCAAACAAAAGCAAAATTCGTCGTGGAAGTGTTTTGGTGCGTCGAGGCTCTCCCGTGACTTTCGATGAACCGCTCACAGGAAAAGAGTGTGAACTTCTACAAAAATTATGGCGAGTCACGAAGAAACTCGTTCACGGCGCGCATTTCATCGTTGACGTTTCGGAGTAGGATGGCTCCAGAGCAGGAATAGCTCGTGCGCAAAATAGCACTAACGGTAGTAGCTTGTCATTAAACGGCTTTATTCACCTTGAGGTTTCTCTTGAAGACTTTCTTCTCCGGCGCACCGATGCAGAACAACAGTGGGCGGTTGTGAAGATGTTCATCTAGCTCGTGTTACGTAAAAGCATTAGATTCAAGGTTTGAATCGAATTCCAATGAAAACACGAAAGCCTATTGAGCTTCTGACCTTCAATCAACGCATCATTGTTGGCACTTTGCGCGACCCGCCGCAGTAATCAAGGATTATTGACCCGTAGCTCAGATGTTCGCGGGAACATCAGGGGCGGGAGACCGAAGATTCGGATTCGCGCTAGAATCCCAGCCGACTGAGGGATCGATACGAGACGAAGTATTGAGCCCGACGAGGCTCTCTTCTCGAATCTCTTCCCGCAAAAATCGTGTTCTAGTCTCCTGTCCATCGTTAGACCATACTGCCTGGCCCGCTCCGCAAGCTCCGGGTTATTCGCGAGCAGAATGAGGACGTCCAGTAGGAGCTGCATCTCGACCCTTCGAACCTTGAGTCGTGTGTCGTGAGATGCATGATTCAAACGGACCCTCTCCATAGACGCGAGATGGCAGGACTCCACGATTCCGAGAACTCAAGCATCAAGCACCAGACCGCGTAGGAACCCGGGAGATAGGAAAATTTCAGCCCTCGCTGTCGCTGCTCAATCTGAAGTATCAATCCAAGGATGCATGTGCACACAATAAGTGCGAATTTGCTACGCCGGCCGATTAACAAGTGTTCCTGACAGGGCGTTTTCTTAACACCGACTTGAGGTCTTGAAGACGTGTATTGACTTTAACAAAATTCTTGTCCCTCTCAGAGCCAATGCTCGTGGAAGGAATGTCTTCTATACCTCCGTCGTTGTCGACTGTGACCATCAATGGCAATTACCTCCAATCCAACAACGCCGCCTCCGCTCTTGCTAAGCCCAACGTGAGTATTTTATTCCTCTCTTGAGACGCCATTAATCAGAACACCACGCACGAAAGGCTCCCGCAAGCCGCAAGAAATGCTTGAAAAGTGTTGAACTAATCACCAGTCAAGCGGAAGATGAGATAACCACGAAAGTTATATCATCGTTGAACAATGTTCCGAATTTCTGGTCTCATCTTCGAGGGTGTAGGGGAACTCGACGCTCCCAGAACCCAAAAAATTGAAAACATTTCGCGTGGAGAATTCGCATCGAGAGGGTACTCGTGTTCTGTGAGATCGGATCGGATCTTCAATCACGTCGTCATATTTCCACAGCTTGTCACAGTCGTCAAGGTTGGCAGTCCTCCAGCGTGGGGAGAGGATGCGCGCTCGCTGACGTCGTTCCAAACTTTTCCGCGCTCCCACTCGCGCACGACCTCTTGCTCCGAGCCCATTGCGGATTTGAATCTGAACCCTCTGTCTGGAGATACCACGACCCGGGACGCGTTTTCGATCCTGACCGTGGTAATTCCCCTGGCTACCGGAGATCGACGCTTCGGCTTCAGTGTGATCGGAGGAGTGGACGAAAGATTCGCTCCGAAAATCGAGGCAATCAACGCAGGTTAGTTGACGTCGAAGAGGCTTGGCCTCAAGGGAGCGTATCCGTCGGACGATCGAGTCGGAGTCGAAGTAGTTCTTCCCTAAGAAAGATCACGCTGCGCTTTCAGGATCTCCGGCCGACCGGGCCGACATAGAGGTCGGCGATGAAATTCTGGAAGTCAATGGAAGATCCATAGAGAAATGTACACACACAGAAGTCATTTCGCACATCCATCAGTGTATCCGCTCGCGATGCATCTGTTTGAAGTTGCGCAGAAGTAAATCGAAGGAACATCGACCCAGCAGTCAGCTCGGGACAACTTCGAATGGCAACTATCTTCCAGCACCTCTGTTATTGCCTGCTAGCCCCACCCTCAAGGAAAACGGGACAAGGGTGAGTAGTTGCTCAAACGAGACTAGATGCGGAACCAAGATGGTACGTCACCACGCGAACGAAAAATGCCGTAACAAGCGCATTATTCCTGACGGGTCTATTTTCACGGATCACGTCTGGAGCTTTTTGATGCGTTTACGACTTTGGCTGTCTCTGGACGGAGACGGAGACTTTCGCCAAATAAGGGATGCGATCGGGAAAGAAAGCGCATCGGAAAAGAAGCTCTTTGAAAATAACAGCTGCTTCCCTTCGAAGACGGAATCGCTTAAGTTTAAATTGGGTCCAGGGCACAGGGAGAGTCGGATCGGAGGTTTTCCCCGCCGAAACAAGGACAAGCTCGAAAACCATGCGCTTTGTTCCATTCATGTACTTCAAGAACGATTTCGGCGGAAAATCGCCTGAACGTAGGCCTCCCATAGGAAGTCTGCCCTTTAACTCTCTGGGAGAGTCTATCGTTTCTCGGAGTAGATCCGGATACCCCTCAGAGGGACTTTCGAGAAAAGATCTATCGGAGCTAAAACATTCACCTGAGGCCAACCGAGGCGAGAGTCAATCGTTTACTCAGCTAGGAAAGTGCAGCATCGATTCCAAAACGATAATCCGCGTTTTTGCTGGTGGATAGCTCACAGGATCGGGCTAGAGAGCTCAGCGCCAGCAACTCTTACTCACTGTGGCCAGTAACTGGAAAGGGACTCAAAGATTTGTCAATATGTGCCGCCTCGGCCACCGATACTGCAACACGAGCTCCCTTAGGAGACTGCTTACATCGTTGACACGATCCATATCCGTTCGGTAGACAGCATTCGTTCGGATGGCCGGTTTCCGCCGACTCAATGTTCGTTATCGCTGTGCTGAGGTTTATTTGCGTGAGACTCGTTTTCATTGGCTCGCTCGAAGACTCACTCGTATAGTTAATTTGTTTGCAGATATTTGATGATCCAATACCGAATGTTGTGGATGCTCCTCCTCCGCTGGGTTTTGCGTCGGATGACCCGCCGCTGCTCATAAATCAGTCGTCCACACAGCCATTATTGCCTAGAGCTCACTCACTACTCGGCGGCAGCGTTGTTCAACACAACATCCAGCACAGCATAGACGACAACTCGGCAGTTCCTCTTACGCCACTTCCGAATCTCGAGATCCCCGCAAATGTCTCGAGCTCGCCGGCCGGCTTGACTAACGGCAGCAGCTCCACGAAATCCGGTAAGAAGAATATTGATCAAGACCTCCCTGTGAGGTTCCCCACGTGAAACGAGAGCCGAAATATTCGAGTTCCTCCCTTTCAGTTCCTCCGCCTCTGGCGATTCCTGTCCCGTCTCCTCGGAGAGCCTCTGAGAAGCTCCTCAACCGGCCGATGCCGAGCAAAATCGAGCTTCCTCAGTCGCCTTTGTTCAAAAATGTCAGTTTGGAGCAACTTCCTCGCTCACCTCTCGCCACGACCTTTTCCTCACCACCTCAGTCGCCGCTGTTCAAGGATGCTCCAATCGGTACTCAGCTGGTTCCTCTCAGCTTGCCGCCCAGACCTACTCTCGAATTACAATCGGGAACGCATCGCGAAATGGCCGTCGATGTTCCGGACGCATTCATTCCAATGGCTAAGCAAGCGCCACGGTGAGTAATCCCTTAAATTCCTCCGTGTTTGGGTGCCATAGCGGCCCTAGTCTGATCTACGAACGTCAGTGAAGCTTGAGAGGCTCGCGGATTCGCTCCTTGAGGCGTCCGCCGTCCTTGATTTTATTGTGTTGTGACGTAAATGACTTACAATTTGATCCTTTCGCCAGGTACCCGCCCATGAAACCCTCGAATGATACTCTCTCGCGGAATACGGAGCTCCCGAAAGTGGACAAGACTCGCGTTTTACGGAATGGAGGTTCCGGCCAGACGCCCCAGGAGCAGCAGATGGAAATGTTCCTCCGATCTTCCATCAGACAATCGAAGAAACTTCGGGAATTAGAGAAGAGCCCCGCTCCTGTACAATCGAAAGGTGTCGTCAACAACGCTTTCGAGCCCGAACAAGTTCCCGCGGTTCTGACCCCGATCGAGCCCCAACCGACAGTTGACGTCACGAAGCTCTACGATGTCAGCGCTCTGCAGACCGCTCTGAGTCGAGTCATAGATTACGTCGGCAATGACGGGGGGGCCATCGACGACGGGCCGGACCTGGATAAAGTCATGCAACTTCTCGACGCCGAAGAATTCCAGGGCTGCCTCGCAATCACCAACATAATCAAACAGATTCTCTGCTCTCAAGCGGCGCCTTCGGCTCCAGTCCGCTGTGATGCCAAGGAGCTGTGCGCAGACATCTCCCAGAATCAAATCATCCAAGATTCGGCTGTCGGTCAGGAATTATTGACGATTCTGAACGACGCGAACATTAGTCAGCTTCTAGAGTGCCATGATCGGATATCGAAGGTTTTCGGAGCTCCCAAGGGTGATCCCGCCAACTCGGTTTCGCCGAATGAAACGCAAACGGTAGTTATTCTCATCTTATTCTCCATCATCTCATGTCGGACTATTAATTCGTACCATTGGGACCCGGAGCAGAATCTTTACCGAACGTTCTTTATAGATGCCGGCGGGCCAGAACAACTCGACGCCAAACCGCCGCGTGATCAATCCACCACCGGAGCTAGGGAGTTTCTTGGACGAAGGCGAAAACGCAAGGATCATTCAAATTGACAAAACTTCAGATCCACTCGGAGCCACGGTCCGTAATGAGGGCGAATCTATCATCGTTGGACGGGTGGTCAAAGGTGGAGCGGCCGAAAAATCGGGACTGCTACACGAAGGCGACGAAATCGTCGCTGTCAACGGAGTCGAGATGAGAGGCAAAACCGTCGCTCAGGTCAGCGACGAGCTGGCGAACATGCACGGCAAGCTCACCTTCCTCATCATACCGAACGATCGATATTCTCCGCCCGAAGTTCAACCCCAAACGCCCGTGATGCACATCAAGGTATGAAATCAAACGGAGATGTCTCCCACCCCATGCTCTCGATGCGCTTTCCAGTCTCGTTAATTCATATCATCCATATCCATATTTTGCCGATTCTCGCCGACTTACGCTTTTGATTGATCTCCAGGCCCACTTCGACTACGACCCCGAAGACGACATGTATATCCCATGTCGCGAGCTCGGGATCGGTTTCCAGAAAGGCGATATTCTCCACGTAATCAGTACGAACGATCCCAATTGGTGGCAGGCGTACAAGGACGGTGAAGATGAGACGACGCTAGCGGGTCTGATCCCCTCGAAAAGCTTCCAACTGCGGCGAGAAGCCATCCGACAGCAGCTCATGAACCAAGCAGGCGAAGAACGAGGCGGGAGTCAGCGTGGAAAGCGTCTTCTATGCGCTCCTACCGTCGCCAAGAAATCCCACAGTATGAAATCTTCGAGGAAAAACTCAAAAGGGAAGATGTACAATTCCGCCACGCAAGTTGGTCAAGACGAGGAGCCGCTACTCTATGAAGAAGTGGGTCTGTACTACCCCAGAGCGAACAAAAAGCGACCTGTCGTGCTCATCGGCCCGAGCAACATCGGCAAACACGAGCTCCGTGAACGTCTCATGGAAGATACGGCGAGATTCGCTGCCGCTATACCTCGTGAGTATTATGATTGGAACGCGACATTTCCCAATATTTGCTCCGAAACCATTCTGGGCGATCCGCTGCGGGAGGAAAACTTAGATTCCATCCCGAATGCAGATACTTCAAGACCTCGAAAGGACAGCGAAGCTGATGGAGCCGATTATCACTTCATCAGTCGAGCGCAATTCGAGAATGACATCCTGAACGGGCGCTTCGTCGAGCATGGCGAGTACGAGAAGAACTATTACGGAACCAGTTTGCAAGCCATAAGGGCCATCGTGCATTCTGGTCAAATCTGTGTTCTCAACCTTCATCCCGAATCCCTAAAGGTTTGTTTACAGTCGTGGAGGACCGTTCTCAGGAGACAGGCTTTTTGAGGAGACTCGCGCCTATCCTGAGATCCGACAAGCAATAAGAAATCCTCCCTTTCAGATTCTGAAGAGATCGGACCTTAAGCCATACATCATTTTCATCGCGCCCCCGTCACTAGAGAAGCTGCGGCAAAACAGAGTCAAAGTCGGAGCGAGCGTGAAAACCGAGGAGCTTAAAGAGATCATTGAGAAAGCGAGAGACATAGAGGAAAAGTAAGCTTTAGCGATCGAGCACTTCCGTATGTATCGGTGTCAGCTTTCGGAGCAATCTCGTAGACCGATGACAACGCTCAATCTCGATTATTTCAGCTACGGTGCCTACTTCGATAGCGTCATCATAAATCACGACCAAGAACGAGCCTACCGAGAACTACTGAAGGAAATCGCTTTCATCGAGAGAGAGCCTCAATGGGTTCCTAAGCAGTGGTTGGACTACGAATAAGGATTCCTCAAAACAGTTGCTTTTGACGATTGTTGTGATTCAATTATTCGCTAGATAAGTGCCATCTTTTTTCCCTTCGCAACGCCAAGGTAAATACGACCGTATTCAAGTCAGCGGAACCCTCAATGCTATTTCGTCCTCTCGAGGATCCTGTACAATGTCTAATTTGTGCCTTTACGACAATGTCAAAACTCTGCAATAGACTCTGCTGGCTCGCAAGGAGTCGAGCGACCGGTGGTTCGGATGTATTACCCTTGCAAATATTTTATTACGCAGCGTACGAAATAAAGCGAGCTCTTCCATGTCAAATCACATCGACCTTCATCTCTTTGCACGTTTCTGAACTTTCGAGCCATACCATTTTCTTCGCATCGCCTCCAACTCTCAGGGATTTTTGAACTGTTTCTGCCTAACTGAACTGTTTCTGTCGGCTATCGACTGAACGTTGGCGCCCCTTCTCGAAGCGCCAGCATCAGCATCCCTCCCGATTTCCGTCTGCTCTAAGCACCTAGCAAAACAAACAGATGAGATGCGTCGAGTTCCGACTGTCGCGTGAACTCGAGATACGGGAATTTCGACTTTCTATTCCCTTGCGATATCCCAAGGAGAGTCAGGATGTTGAACCTACTGAATCGAGGGAACAGTTTCGTTCAGGCCGTCAATCGTCTGGCGACCACGAGGTTCGTATGCATGCAGAGTTCTTGAACTCATCCTATTGCTCCAGGATCACATTTCTCTTGCAATCGACTCAGAATCTACTGGGACGGTCTGAATGTCGACATCGACGAAGCCTTCCGGATGGAGGTCTAAGGGTGTCCGGTCCTGGAGAATGATGGATTCCTCCCTCAGCGATACCTAGAGGAAGAGCGCGGATCGACTCTGATCGTCTCATGGGCCTCCGGACGAAGTCTCGGAGTGATTGCTCCTGAGTCCATCGTGTTCCTGCACGCGTCGTTCCGTATATCTATTCGGGCCTCGGAATTCCCCTTCCGCGTCGCTTGGAACCCAGAGTTCGCGACCTGAATACTCCCTGTTGTCGGAACGAAGTACCCGCGTTATTCTACGCGGACGAATGCGGGCCGCCATCACCACAGGATATTCCCATCGTGCTTCTCGGCAGCTCCTCACACCCGGCCGCAATTGGCGGTCTGGGGAAATCATGCGTACCGCAGAGCTTCAGTCGAGCATGGACATGTATCGCTGCGATCCCCATCCCCTGGGTTCCTCGCTCGATATGCTCCAGGAGCTGTTATGAAGGAGGTTGCTCCCTTCAGTGTGTTTGCCCTGCCGACGAGCAATCCTGATTGCGATTCGAATTTCTTGTTTCTCTGTAGGCTGACCAGTCGAGGGGACTTCTCAACGGTTAAGAGTTCGAGAGTCATTCCGCCGAGGAAACCATGGAGCTCACCGTATACACAATTCATCGCGTCAGAATTCCGAGCCGTCGCCGAAGAGAATCCAGAGCAGAAGCAAACTGATATTATGAAATTGATGTCAGAAAGATGGAGATCTCTCGACGACGAAACCAGAGAGGTCAGTCCATTTTGTAGAAATCAATTCGAAAGATTCTCCATGCACGGGAGTCTGACTGAGACATCAAATGAGACATGGTGCTCCTTTCGATAGAGGTGAGAACATGAATGTACCGATTACCCACAGAAATATAGGATACTCAATGATGAGCTCCTAAAAGAAAGGCAAGACTTATACGAGGAAGAAGTGGCGAATTGGACACCGGAGAAAGGGAAGCTCGCTGAGGCTGATCGCAAATTGAGAAAAATTGCTCGTGTCAAAAGAGAGATCCGACTGCTGGAAAAATCGTTGGGTAAACCGAAGAGGGTATGCCCCGAAGCAAGTCTCTTCGTCAGAGAGGTTTCTAAACACGGAAAAGTGAGTCCATTTCGGGAGCGAGTCGCGGAATCGCTCTCATGCTTACTCTCGTGAAACGCATGTAGCCACCACGCATAATAATAAATACAAATAACTAGGACCGGTAGAAGATTCATCGTCAGGAGGTCTCATATTCTCTTCGACCCGCTCTATCACAGGTCAATCTCGCCGATACAATTCGTTCATGGAAAACTCAACCGGAAGAAACCAAAAAGCGTATCGGGGAGCTACGTGCGAAATTGCTCGAAGAATACCAAACCGCGGCTCGATTATATGAGCAGCGGCTGGCGATAGACGAGGATAGCTCCAAAAAATTGAAGAAGTTGAAGGCGAAGCTGCGGAAAATTTCGGAAGAAACGACAAGCCGAGTTTCGGGAGAAACGTCAAGCCAAGTTTCGCGGGAATAACAAAGAGCGAATCCGTTCCCCTTTGAAACATCGGAGCGAATTGAGTGTTCCGGGGAGGGGACTGTCTCACCGTTTGGAGTTGTAAATGATCATGATAGCGAGGTTTGCGTGGTTCCGATAATAAACCCAAGCCTCGAATCTCGAATAAATGTGGGGGAATGTCACGATTCGAAAAGTCATAGTTTCAAGGCGCTCCCAAATCGTAGTTATAAGGGTTCTGTGAATGGAGGCAGTGACGCGATAGACCCCGGGCTCCGGACCCGGTCGCGGAACCCATTGGCGGATGTCGGGATCGCATGTGCAACGAACAACGTCTACGTTCGCTACGGAGTTCATATGAGTTTTCACGGAGGAGGGAGGAGAATTTCGGAGAACGATCATGTTCTCAATTCTACGAGGGACGAAAATACCCCCGATCCCTCAATATTGAAGGCGCGAGCTCTGAGTCGGTCGTCCGGAGGGCCGGATACGATTCTCTGTCGCAGGAGCATGGCTAACAGGATTTCCAAGTTTTGTTTTCCCAACGAGCATTTCACGGAAATCAGGCAGAATCATACGGATACCGAGCAATGCCCAGTCCCCGGGAGGACCACTGCGAAATCATCGAGAAATCGACCGGAACCGACGATTAGGGCCAAAGATTTGTCTCAGTGCGAGAACGTGAGTTACAGAGCTGAGAGTGGCTTGACTCACGATGAGGATTTATTCCTCCCGCCGCATGCTCGGAGGTTCGTCGAGCGGATCTCTCTCGAACCTAGAGGAGGCCAGACGCCACCGAACTTCGCCGGGATAGCGCCTCGCGCTCGTCAAATGGCGGAGACCACAGAAAGTTCTCCCCCTACGGTCATGACCGAGAGTCGAAAGGATTCCCCCTCGTCCCCGGAGGAGCGAGTTCTCGATTCATCTATGAGAAGTCTAGGTAATATGGAGCGTCCTGTTCATAGGAGTCAGATTAATGTTCAAGACTCTGCGAAATGTTCTGTTGAAGTAGGTGCGTTCGTCCCGCCCCATGCAGCGAACCTCGTTGCTCGTCGAGGGCATAGCCTGCCAGATATAATTTCCGAAGAGCCGTTACGAAAGCTGTTAAACGAGGAGAAAATGAAAGACGCGGAAGAGACCATTTACAAGAAACGACTGACCGGCTCATTCCCGGGGAACGCTGGACAGATAGAGGAGTCAGGAGAGAATGTCAATATCCTTCCCTGCGCCTCAAATCTGGGAAACGGCGGGAATCTTTGTCGAACCATTGATGCGGGTCAGACAGCTCCTTCTCCTAGAGAGCAATCGTTCGAAGAGCCGTACATTCCGCCGCATGCACGTATCGTTCGAAGACGAATACAAGAGATAGAGATCCCCACTGAGAGCCCAGACTCCGAGAATGAGATGAAAAGTGAGTTTGCGACGCCGTCGAAAATACCAGATCCCGGAGGTTACATACCCTCTCATGCGAGGCACCTGCTCGCGCGTTTCGGGAGAGGCTCTCCGGACGATCCGAGACCTCAGATCGAATTGTCAGGGATTTCTGGCGAAAAAATTCACCGTGGGTCTCTGACTCCATCAAGACCACATCTCGCAATTGAAGCAGACGTTAAGGCTGGTCTGGATTTCGAGGATTCTTCTCCGAGAGCTTCGACAGAAAGTGATGCGATCTCGGAAACTTCCCTCGAAAATCTTGGAGGGAGTGACGCAGAGGAAATTACGGCTGCAAGTCGAGCCGATCTTCTGACCCAGGTTTATCCTCCCCACGCGGAGCTGCTGAAGATCCGCAGGCTTCACGCTGCAGAGACAAGCCGGGGAAAAGCTTCCTATCAAACACCAATGCGGAAACCTCGAGAAAAATTCAATCGAACATTTATTCCGATTCATGCTCAACGTGTTCTGAGACGTCATGTAGAAATTAGAGAAACTCACACCGATGTTCGGGTTGAGTTGTCTCGCTTCGATAAACTGCAGCTGCGACTCCTTCGTTGGTTCACTGAACCCTGGTAAAAGATCTTCGCATGAGGTAGGAAATTAATATTACAGTCGCAATCTCGAGGAGCTTGTCCTCCCGAGCCGAGAGCCGGAGTTCAGCGCCTACGAGATTCGGGAGCGCATCGTTGAGATCATAGGATCGACGCGACGTTCCGAGCTAGAAGACGAATAAAAAGTTTTGAGCGCCCAATTCATCGTTTTCATTATTCTCCCACCTGTTCCGACGTCGGGGTCATCGATAGAATCACATCGAGCTGTTTGTACTGCGGAGAGATCCGTTGTGCGCCTCACCTCCCCTCGAAGTTCAACGGCAGACGACAACAATTTTTATTAGGATTTGGTTGCGTCATCGCTCGTTACGTTTCACTCGACAAATTAGAGGCCCTTTGAGCCTAGCCAGTAGGGCCACTGCCTCGATATCTGGCGGGAACTTGGGCGACTCCGGTGTTTTCTCAACTCTGAAGTGCCAGAGCAGCTCGACGATCATCATCTTCATTTCTAGTTTGGCGAAACGCATTCCAACGCAGTTTCGAGGACCGAGACCGAAAGGCAGCCAAGCCGATGGCTCGGAAGGTTCACCCCGTAGGAAGCGATCCGGGTCGAAGCTCTGGGGGTTGCTCCAGTATTCGGAACTCCGGTGGACTTCCATGAGCGAAGCAATGACGTGCATTCCTTTGGGAATCTTCCATTTCCCATAGACCTTATCGGCAGCAGCAGTCCTGACCACGAAAGGTCCTACGGGAGGGAACATCCGAAGGGTCTCTTTGATCACGGCGTCCAAGTAGCGAAGCTTCTGCAGCTTGTCGAAATCATGGAACCCGTCCGGGCTTTCGAAACTGTCGAGGACCTCTCGGCGCAGTTTCTCTTGGATATCGGGTTTGTGAATGATGACATTCAGAAAGTAAGTCAGCGTGCTGGCCGTCGTTTCGAAACCCGCCACTAATACAGCGAAAGCGTTTTGCACAATCTCATCGTCAGTCAATTTTATGCTGGCCCCCGATGACGTCTTTCTTATGACACTATCAGCATCGATTCCGGCTGTCAGTTCACGATCGTCATTGTTGTCGTTCGCCGAAGTGCTCGCATCCATCAAAAGTTGCAGAAGGTCGCTCTTAGCCGACTTGTGGGCCTTGCGTGCCTTCACGATCGACGCACACTCATTCATTATGCTGGCGAAAAAATTTTTCATGGCCAAGCTTCCTCGACTGTGTCGAAAGCTGCGCACAGCATCCAGCACCCATTGGTTAGCATCAAGTCCCAGAGCCAGCCATTGTGCGAGATCGAAATCCTGGCCCATGAAATCTCGGATGAGTTTGAAAAGTTCGTGGTTCTCCGGATCCTTCTGCATGTTGTAGTTCGCTCCGAAGGCATTTCTCGAAATCACATCCATCGTCAGAGCTTGGAGGAAGATCTTGATATCGATGTCTTTCTCAAGATTTTCGCTGAGATTCCGTGAGAATTCCTCTATGACGGCGTGCATCGGGGGCGAGAGCGCTTTGAGTCTGCTCGATGTGAACGAGGGGGTTATGATTCGCCGCAAGATTTTCCAGCTTGGTCCCTCGGCGCTGAGCAGCGACTTTCTGTGCAGCCGGGACCCATGAATCTGATTACGGTCGGTGAAGTTGATGAAGTCTCGGATGAACACATTTTTGAGTAGGTCCACGTCGGATACGAGCATCATGGGCTTGTATCCTATGAAAATCCCGACGACAGGGCCGTGCCTCTGATGCCATTCCTTGAACACGTTGACGTGTCCTTTCAGATAGTACTCCCAGGCGTTTCCCAGAAGGATGTTGCCTCTAGGACTCGGGATGTGAAGATCTTCGAAGAGCGAGAAGTGAGCCTTCCTTCTCTGAATCCACGAGAAAAGCAGCACGCACAGAATCGTAAGGAGAACCCACCACATTGTGGGAGAGAACGCAGAAGATAAAAAGGAAATAAATCCTCTTCGTGGGTGACGGCCAAACGTCGACGCTCCGTACTACATCGAGATTGAATTGCGGTATCGAGATTTCAACAAGCGAGAGAGCCGGGCGAGGAGGCTGCTGATCCTGGGACAGCCTCGAAGGTGAGAAAGACTCTTTTGGGTGCTAGGTGCGTGATTTTCCGACGGAGCCTAGATCAAAGGCTGACAGTTATTTCAATCAGTGATTGTTTCTTTCGGAGATGACAGAAAAAAAAACTGCTAATCATTCTGGATCGATTTGCAGCTTCTCAAAGGTTGATCGGAATTGATAGTCTCCCAACGCGAGGAAACCCGAAACTATTCCCCATGCGTGCCCCTTCATGGAGTCGCCCTTCAGAAAGTTGTCACTTCGTACTGTTGGGCTTCGTGGGTGATCAGGAGGGCGAAGTAGATCTTCACGATGAGATCGGAGTGGACAACTTCTGCGGCTTAGACCGTGACGGTCAGAATTCGCGATAGGTGTGGGTGAGGAGGATAGTCTGCGATGAGATGCGGGCGCCCGGCGCGGTGTCCGCCTCCGACCTTCCATTCATTCACCACAGCTAGAAAGGACTTAATCCTCCAGATGGGAAGGTGGGAGAGGAAACCATCGGAGTCATCGCCGTCCGTTCTACTGTTGGAGCGTTCAGACTCGCCATTACGTTGAATCGGAGGTCTCGTTGCTTCTCACAGAGTTTTTACGGCTGATTGTAAAAAGCGGACTTTAGTCGTCAAGTCTAAATAAGATGGCTCGCTGTTGCTGCTGGCTTTGCATGCTCGCTACGAAGCGACTGCCGTCAGTCGCCACATATAAATGGGGTAGAAGTAGGCTTATCTTGACTCGGCTCTAAAGCAGGTCGATTGTGGCGTACGCCAGCTAAAGTCTAAGTAGTGGAGCAGACTGCAGTAAAATGCATTGCGTCTAATCTGAGTCGACGGCTGAGTGTTCGAATCGAAGGTTCGCGTGCATGTTCCTGCCTCGCTCGACATACCCTTTGGATAGGCACAGCCGATCGGTGGGCCTGCCTAGCTAGGCTTGTTCGCCTCACCTCGCCGCTCGCCCCTCTGCCCTTGCAGATGCCTGACAGAGTGAGGCAACTTGCGCGCTAAGGTACGTCCCTTGGGACTCGTCCAGGCGGCGGCGCGGTGGCCACGTCGGGGCGAGGAATCAGTTTTCGATCCGTGAGTTTTTCTACCTGTTCGTCGGGCTCGTCGTCACCATCTCTGTCGTCGGCTCCATCGTCGACCGATGGCGTATTAAGACGCTCGGCGAAAAGAAAACTTCTGAGATCTCCACCCAATCGACCAAAAGAGACAGACACCCGAGCATGCAACGTTCCTCCCGGAACCCCGACGGGCGTACTAAAGGCGGGAACTCTCAAAAGAGCCCGACCGGCATGGCCCTGCCCGTTTCCAGCTCATAGAGATCATCGAAAGCTTACGCCTTCTCCTCCAACGTGGTCTCCGAGAGACCAGTCGGAAAACTTTTCCGTAGTTCAAAATAAACGGATTGCCGGAGTCGCGGTATCCATGATCCGAATTCGAAAGAGGGTCGAAGTTGTGTTATATATCTCTTCTGACGGAAGAGTCATGGGGATAGCGTCTCCCAGCTTCACGTCGTGCTTCTCGCTGTCGATTACCCTCGCTGGTGGCGTGGTCTTTCATCGTGAAGTTCATCACCGAAATTCGTCTGCGTTGTTTCCTCGCCGGAGCAGTGCCGTGACGTTTCACTGTCTGATTAGCAGAGCAGAAACTTCCAGATTCGCACAGTTGTGCGGAGACCGGACCCCTGATAGGATCCAGAAATCGTTTCATTTGTGCAAAATTTCAGTCCGCGACGCATTCCAGAAGGCGGCGCGACGAGGCGAATGGAGATTAATATTTCTGAGCAGAGAACCCATCGTGCGATCTGGACGCTTTTAGCTTGTCGACCATGCGGTACTCCGTACTTTCTCAGTGAGTCTGCTCCCTCGCCCGTCCAAGAAGGACTCGAGTCGACGACTGAGCCCCCCGGACGAAATACGAATTCCTCTGTCGTCGATTCCGGGAATAGCTGCTCGTCTCGCGACTGATGGAGCTTTCAATGATTCTCAAGGCACTACCGATTGAATGACCCACGGCTCTGCATGGGAATTAGAAGTCGTTTCAAACGTCTTCGATTGAGCGCATGTCCGTTATCTCATTGCGCGTCCTTCATTTTCCCAGCAAGTTGATTTCCTGTTCGAAGCCACTGTCCCCTTCGACTATCATGACTTCCCCGCCAGTGGTCCGAGTCCTGTTCATACTGCGTCGAGCAGTTCGGCGCCGTCGCTCAGGATTCAGCTGAGGGATCTGGCGGAACAAACCTCCAAGTTTTATGGTTTCATCCCTTACCGGCATTCAAGTCGACCGACAACGGTTCCATCTCGTCTTGCGTATACAGTCGACGAAGCGGACGGGTCGTTGTCTGTATCGTCTCTCATGCGTTCCCGGCCCGAGGAGATTTCTATTCCGTTGGCTAGATTGTGCTCCGGGTTCTCTGTTACTTCATCATATTCGTCTCGCTTTTCAATCGTTCCTACGACTCAGTCAGCCTTGGTTTTTGGCTCGTGTTCTTTCCCACCGTCGTCGGTCGCCGTCCATCTGTTCTTGCTCCGGCGTTTTTCCTCTGCTTCTTTCCTCTCGGTGTTTCCTCTTTTCCCCGTCCACATTTCTCATTCGTCGCTGAACGGAAAAGCATTGGGTTACCACTAACTTCAGCGACGTTGACGACAACGGGAACGGCGACGACGACGACGGCAACAGCAGTCATCCAAGAAGCAGCCGCATAGGAGTTCCAGCAGATCTGCATAAAGTGTCTCTTTAGTTTCGCCCGCTCGCCCGTTTGCCTGTCTTCCTGATCCCTCCGACTGGCTTCTCTCATCGCCGCTATTCTTGAAGCACTCGTTGGTTCCCCTCGCGTCTCTCTGTCCAGATGGCGTCGTCATTAGACTTAGCTCTTTCGGTCCGTGGGCGGGTTGTGCCGGTCCTCATATGCTCATGTCCCTCTTTTGCTCAGTCGCATGCCGCGGCACAAGGCGGTCGACTGGACATGGGATGGAGGGCCTTCGAGGAGCACGTGGGGTTCACTCGGGGGGCGTCGGGGTGGGGAGAGAGGCGGGGGACGGGAGGGGAGTCGGGCGTTGGGTGAATAATTCAGACGGCAGAAAAGAAGCAGGAGCAAGCAAGCAGCGTAATGGCGAACGCCCCAAGAACTCTTTTTCGTCGTCGTGGCAAAAGCGCGTTGGAGGTGCTGCCTCTACTGATGTGCAAGGCAAGAAATTAAAAGGATTTTGCTCAAGCCTTCCTCCGAGGTTTGGCGTGCGGATCCGAGCGAGGAAAGTGACGTCGACGGCGTTCAGGCAGCAGCAACTACTGCGCACTAACAAACTGAGTAACTCTTGTTGCTTGGGCTGCATCGCTTCCGGCCGATCTCCATTAACCTTTGAAAGCATCGACGTTTTTTGCTCCGCAGAAAAACGACCCATTTACGTGCTCTGCAGCATTCCGAGGAGCTCACAGGATAATTAGACGAAGAACACCGAGGGAGAATCCCCGCCGAAGGGAACGAGGAGACCTTGTCGCTGATTTACGTCCGATCGTCGGCAGGGGTGCTGAGAGCAGAGCTCGTCCCCGGCAGCACTGATCTCGCGTATCCGATACGTTGCGTAAAAGTAGGTATTGGAGGCAGGTGGCGCGAGCGATCACAACAGCAGCGGTCGCCAGGGCGAAACAGCAGTCTCGGCTGAGGGGCCGCGAAACGATGACCAATGCATTTTCAGCGTAATCTACATAATGGATTTGCTCCGGCAATATCGGTGGCTTCTCGGAGCTCGCCAGAAAGCTGATCGCTGCCACTGAATTACCATAGGAATAGTTCGGTATCCGAGCATATGTCAACTTTGAAGCTGCTCGCATATCTAGAGCGGAGCTCAGGCCGGTTTGAGGAACAGCCTTCTTCCGACGCGTAAAATGACGTCACTATAGGGAGTCTTCATGGAAGAAAATGTCCCGGCTCATGTTCCGCTCCCCGGAATTTCGCGCGATTTCGGGAGTCAGTCACTCGGATCTGATGAAACTATCAAGAGTACATTATTACTTTCCGAATATTTCCAAAAACGAGCGGAGCTATTATCAAGCATTAGAATAGAATATCAAGGCAATGAATGAAATTGAGATCGAAGTGCACTAGACAGGAGTAATCGATGTTCAGTGATGCCTTGACCGGTGGAGAGGATTTCCTATTCGTCCCTCGACTTCTTCAGTTTTCGTATGATGTTGGCGAGAAAACCTAGGGGCTTCGGAGATTCCTTGAATTTAATATTTCCGTTCTTCGATGCGTCTGTGTCCGGAGCCGCAGCCGACTCTTTCATGCTCGATCCTGACGACTGACTCGAGACCCTCCCTAGAACGATCGACTTTTTTCCCGGATGAGTGGCCTTCTTCCATGTCTGCGCGGTTTTCTTCTCGATCTGCATCAGCTTCTTTGTTGCATGGACAGAGTTTTTCTCTGCTCGAATATACTTCTCAGCTGGTTTTGGGGCAACCTCTGATCGTCTTTTTTGGACAGGACGCTCGAATTTCCTGAAATCCCTCACGGAGGTTTCGACATGTCTCTCTGGGGCATCTTTCGGGAGTATTGCATTGACGACACGCTTCCGTTCCGGAAGATTCCGTGACTCCGCTTTGACGCTATGATTCACTCGTTCAATCGAGATTTCCTGGAATTGCAGAACGATCGCTTCGAGTTAGTCGGGGTACTCGGAGGAGTAATGATCGATCGAGAGGACTTCGGAAAAATCTGGGTGCTTAGGAACGCAGTTGATTGACTTCTGAACGCCTGAATCTTCTGTGATTATGAGAGGTGTCTGCTCGCGGTTCGTCTCTTCACGCGTCACGGATGGATAATGGTGGTCGGAAACCGCGGTATCGCGGTATGGAGATGGTACGCTAAGATCGAGACGCGAACTATATACGGAGGGAGAAGAGCGGAATTGAGTTCTTACG